GGTTACGGGACAACATCACCCCACCTTATTTTAGACTAATGTGTCCAGTAAATACAAATACGATTTTCCACTTGTAAGGTCCAGTCTTCGGTAAGTTTGCATCAAGCCTGAAGGTGTCTTGTGTTGGAGGGAGTGTGAGGAATAATAAGATTGTCTGGAAGAGAAAAGAACAGAAGAAAAGGTGAGCCGACCTCTCACTAAGCACATAGAATTCACTCACCTTTAATGAAGAAAGCAATTGACAACAACCACAAATAAAACAAGCTTGCGACTAAGACAAAATGATAATCGACTCTAGGAGTTGGAAGCGTAAAGTTTCGAATGTGTTACACACTCTAAGGCAATCAGATCGGTAAATGGAATTTCCCCCATGTTGAACTACGTTAATTTTTATAATTAACGAAATACGTTTCTTTACTTACATAACTAAGCAAACTGGGAATTTCGTTAAAAATCACATTTGTAAATATATACATATTTACGTTTAATAATGTTCGTCAGTCAAGCTACTGACAGGTTTTTTCTTAAATCTGTTTCAATGTAATTATATGTTTAATTTAATGAACATAGTCATTTTGGATTCAGATAAATCCACAGGGTTCAATTTAAACCTTTAACACAATAATTACCCTAAAAACTGTATATACTTGTTTATTGTAGAATTCAAAAAACATCATTTTTCAATTTAATTACTATTTATTGATCAATTTTTATTTGCTACATACAAATTTTTTACTGCAAAGTAGTTTGTGTCTTCATTTTATGAATTAAAGATAGTAATAGAATCAATTTAATTAAATATAATTAGTTGACAATTTAAATTCTATGTTGTAAACTGATCAATAATAATAAAAATAATTAAATATAGCTAATATTTTTGTGTTTATTCTTGAAAATATATCGCATTATTTAAAAAAGGATCTATATACGTTTTTTTGGTTGAAAGTTATTATTATTTAACAAATAAAACTAAATCAAATTGATGCTTCTCAACGATTCATTGTTTCCCTGGAGTAAAATGTAAACTGGAGGTATGGTATCAACAGCAATAATATTTATTAATTTTATGAATATTAAATCAATAATTGACTGATTATTTTAGATCTGATTTGCACATTAAATTAAATCTTTTATTTTTTTTTATATTTTCTGAATAAAGTTTCTTATGTTTATTGATAGTTAATCCATATTTCTTAGATGTGATTGATAAAAACAGATACTGATAACTGCGTAACAAAAAGTCCGCAGTCTTAAAATGAATTTAGCTCGTTTCTCATTAATATCTATTCAATTAAGTCACGATAAAACATAATTCAGGAGAAAATACTGAATAGAAATTTTTGTTTTACTTTACTCTTGGAGCCCTTCTAGGGTTGTTGCCGACCCAAAGCACGGATAAAGGAGGAGGGTTGGGCATGGTATTAGCGACCCTATCCCGTAGAAACCCAACTCGTTAAAATAATGCTAACCAGAAGTAAATAATTCCGTAGTCGACGGCCTATGGTCTATTAGGGGTAACAGGCGAAGGAAGTAAGCAAGTAATACAAGTAGCAATATGAAGTAAACATTTTTAAGAGGTTAGTTTGATTCTTCTTAGTAGGAAATCTATTTATACACAATATCAAATGTTGGTATATTAACTCAGTCAGGTTTCTGGTAACCGTTAATTTGTAACAGTCTATGTCTAATAAATAGTATCACGACAAAGTTGACAAAAATATCTGAAAAAAAATATCGTATACACAGACAAATCATGCTGAGTTCTGAAATTGATAGGCATTAAGTAATTAGTAAATATTATTTTTTTTTAAGCAACCATCTATTATTTTCATGTAAGGATATAAAATAATGGAACAGAAAAAAAAACAATCACATACTCTTATTTCCATTAGTAAGTATAATTAAATGATTGTAACGTTACCACTGTGTAATTATTATTCCGAATTAATGAATACAAATAACTTTCAACTAATTGAATTTTTTACTACAATGATTTCTTAGAAATGGGAACACATTTTTGTAAATCATTGAACCCATTGAACATTATTTGTAGTTTGTTTGAATTAATGCATAAATGAGACATAGGTCACTTTTATTTGAATTCGTTCGTCTTGTTTTTTGAGGATCCTTTGAAGAAAATTTGAAATAAACTTGAGAATAGGAATTCATACATCATAATATAATTTCACAGTTTACTACTTCATAATAATAACATGAAAATAATTTGTCAGAAACATCTAGTAGAAATAATGCTTAAATCGTCTTAATTTTCTACAATTTTCTCAAACTTTATTGATAAACATATTAGTTAAATTCTGAATATAATTATTAATTATTGTTCGTGACTGTGTATTAGATAGTTTTTTATATAAAAATATTTATCTCTATTCATCTATATTTTTTTCTCTCCATGTAATGCTCTCGTTCTTTAAAACTTCCCACAACATAAATCTGAATAAGTTTATCATAAAACATTAAAAATGAGGTTAATTATGTTCTACCTTGCTGATTCGATCATTTTAAGTGTTAAGAAATCTTGGGAAAAATTTTAATTAATTTTCTTTCCACAAGATTAGCTTTTAACAAACATTTAAACGCATTAAATGAAATGGTGGTTTATTCAGGTGAATTGCTGGGTTTTTTTACATTTGAAAAATTCTAGATGACTTTTTGAAATAAGTTACTTTCTCTCTTTGTATAATTTTTGTCTGAACAAAATGGGTTTAGAAAATTTTAATAATCAAATTTGAACTGATGTACTTGTAGACTGGAGTATTTAGCAAAGCTGGCAAAAATCTCGTAATCATTATCTAACCATACTGCTAGACAAACGAAAGTGTTTATGAAGCATGAAAAGCAATATTCTCTTTTTTTTTCTAGGATATCTGCAAGTAAGATTAGTAAAAATGCTTTATTATACCAACACAGACATAAAATATATTGTAATTCAACATTCTCCCTATGTATTTGTGGAATGCGTTTTTCCAATCAATAAACTAGTCACATTTTAAATTGTCTAATCACAAAAATTAATCTATAATATTCAATCATTAGTTTAACTAGGGTTAACGTTATTTTGAATGCAATGAATTCATAGACAAAGCCTATGTCTGTGTTGAAGTATTCGCAATGATATAAGCTCGAAAGTTTACCTCATAAAAACTCAATCAAAATATAGAACACTCTGTGGTCACCTAAAAGTCATTCTGAAAATTTCCACGAGAAATAAACAAAGAAACAGGAAAATTTATTCACTTTTGATATCTCCCAAATTATTGTCTTAGCTGCAACTAAAATTTTGCAAATTAATACTACGTATACTTGGTACATTTTATGTTGGCCATAAAACGATCATTTCCTTTACATTATATTTTTTCGTATCGCTTCAACGGTTCTCTGTGATACTTGATTAATAATTTATTTTCATGCTCTTATTCTGACAATTAAATATATATGTAGTTTAGAAAATCCAATGTATTTATAAAACAGAAAGCAGTATCTTAACTATTTTTATTAAATCCACTTTTCAAATCCAAACTATATTGAACGTTATTCGTTACACTTTTTAAAATGCCTTTACGATGATCCTGTTTGTTTGAAATTCAAGTCTATTAATGCTTTTGAATGTTATTAGGACTTGTCGCAGGTTGAATTCACTTGATACTGAAAATAGAATTGTAAATTAGATTTATAATATAATGTGATAAATATTATTTCTATTTTATATTATTATCACTTATTCATTCAGTCATTTCGGTTGTCTTCAAGGTTTAAATAAATATTGCACATTTTGGATAAAGTTTGAATCAATTTAAAGTTAGCACATTAAGTACTTGTTTGGTATTACAGAGCTTAATATAATAGAAATTATAAAGCAAACCTATTCTTCTAACAACATATAAATGTACTCAACTCTAGGGCACAATAAAAGTGTTATATAGTTTGAATGATCGCTAACGTTGTGGTTTACTTTGTATAATCCTCTGATGTACGTAGATTGTAATATGCATCACTCAGTACTTTATAAAATATTCGTTTGCCTTTGATTTTAGACATAAATAAATTAATGGTGTCAGGTTACAATTAGATTATGTTTTGACTATTTCTGTCCTCATTTGTCTTATGGTTTTAAGTATTTTGTGTTTTTACTTCTAAGTATCATACGAGAAATTCTTTCAATGTTTTATTGACGATTTTTAGTCAAATCCTAATTGTTACTAATCAATTTTATTTCTGATTTCCTTATTTTAAAAGTCTGTCATTTTCTTTTATGCGCTACACTGCTTGAATGAAATAGGTGTACTTCCTGTCACAGCTTGCTTATCTAAACAAAAAATATTTTTATTTTGATATGTCATAAATGTCTATCGTTTTGTTTGCTGTTCATAATTTAAATCTAGTGAACGTCTTTTGTTTATGTCGACTAAATAGTGACGATTATAACTAATATTGAATTTTTCAATAGTTATAATTTGTTATTCCGTTTCGCTTTCTTTCAGTAGAATTAAAAGTGGTTTATTTTATTTTTAAAAGAATATTCTAGTAATTAAATTTACATCTCTTGAAAATACTGGCTGTTGTATTCAACACTGTTTACTAAGTTCAAACTCCATTCAGATAAGATCATGAATTAAGTTTAAAACTGGAGGTACTTGATTTGTATCATATACTATTCACCTTTGATATTTATTCATCATATTTAAATCTATAATGAAATTATTTAGACTGATGAAAATTGACTTGTCTATACAGTAACAAGACACTGAACTACATCTTTAGAAATTACAAGTATTAACTGTTTCAGTATAAAGTTGTGTCATGAATTAAGAGTAAAATATCCGTTCCTAATATCATTGTGTTTGTAATGATGTTCGTCGAAATCTGTGCATTGTTTTGTCTATGTGAAGTAAAATTCTGTTACAGTTAATAGAAACTTGCAATGTTAACACTATTTTCTATTTTTCTATTTTCTTTTTTTTTAAAAAAAAACAAATGAACAGATTACGAAGACGTGCCAAACCGGAGTTGGAAAATGAACAACACAAAGATGTATCACTTCGGATATCGATACAAGAAGTTAAAAATCTCTCTGCTAAAGGACGGTATGTTTTAAAATAACTGAGTAGTTTTTTTTAAAAGAAATCTATAGTAGAATATATAATCAATTTTAAAACAGTTTTTATAAACTTTGGTCGAAGTAAAGTGTCTTAATTAACGTTGGTGAAGTGACAACTGAATGTATTGTATATAGTTCGTCCTTCTTCTAACAGTCAAGCTAATAAAACAAACGTAGAAATGGAACTTACAACCCACTGTTTTTGACTCTAATGATTTAGGTGCTCAAATTTCCTTCTACTACACCATTCTGTAGGTAGTAAATACCTATCTAAGTGACATATGTATATTGGATAATTCACCTAAGCTCACATTTAAACGTTAGATTATCTGTTAAAATAAGTATAGCTGTTTCCTTCCATTTATCTTCAATCTACAGTCAAAGGATAAATCATCATTTAAAAAAGTTAGTTACAAGTGCTTGCGGTCTGAAACATTTAACATTCATTTAAGTGTACTAAACCATAGGTTTATGTTTTGTTACTAATGTTTCATATACTCAGATAAACCAGGCAAACTGTCTGTCAGTTGAGGTACTGCTTCGTGTATGACTAAATAGAAAATATGTTGTATCATATTATAATATGAATTAGTGTTAAGTATCAACGAAGTGTTAGAATCAACTACACTTCTTTCTTCAAATAAATGAAAGGTGTTAAACTGTAATGTTTGAAATCAACTTCTAATAATTCTCCTATCCCTTAAGCATAACTTTTCATGATAGCTTATTGATAAAAGGAAATACCCTCTTGAAGATTTTTTTCCTTTAAACCTGACTAAATAGAAATTAATTTTCTTGTTTTATATTGATAGAGAATAAACAAAAATTTAAAAAGAAAATCTTTTCGCACATTGAAAAGTAGTTATTCAATTTGCTACTTCGACTTATACAAGAATTACTTAACTCTGTTTGAATTTAAGTCAAAAAATTTACAAGTAACGATTTTCTATTTGCAAATAGGCACTGAAAATAAAATTTCTTTACAGATATGAAGAAAAATATTAATAATAGAACTGCAGTTTATTACTGTCAGATTATGTTTATGAGTGTTAACCTGTAAAATGTAGCTTGAATTGTATTAAAAACCAACAGTGTATGTTAGTTTATAAGAAAAGTTGTTGCCTAACCAGTTTAATAAAACAAAACTAAATAATCTGAAATAGATTAATAAAAGCATATGTTTTGTATCAAACAGTTGTACTGGTTTCCTGATGTTAGAAAGAAAACTCAGATCACATTTAAATAAAATAACTAATACTCTGAAATAAACTGGGTTAAAATGAAGGACTATTTACGTCTTTTTGCATGCATTTTTTATGTTAAGACATAAATTTTGTACAGTTACAGTAATTATATACTATAGCTATCAGACCTTGATAACCCAACACAACCTTACAAAACCAAGTAACTTGATAGTGTGATCCAATGCAATTTCATAATTTATAATTTATGATAGCCTTTGGGAAAAATTAAACCTAAGTCCTGACTGTATAATATTCTAGCAAGTTAATCATAAGTACAGTTTTAGTAGTTTTCCTTAGTTCTGAGAACCTGAGTACAATATCTATCATCATCAAATACATTGTTTCTTCATTCAATTCAATTTTAACACGTGTTCTGCACATACACCTTCATGCTGGTAGTATTGTAAAAATTAACCTGAAAGTTTTTAATAAAAACACTCATATCTAAACAACGTGTACTTTGATACAGAAAACAATAAACGAAAAATGTATTGTAAGCTGTTCCGATCACATTAACATCTCTTGGTTTCCATAATATTGGTAATTGCCACATATGGTTAAATAAGAAAATAACAATCAAAATCCTGAGTATTTATTTTTGTACTTTAACAGGAATAAACGAATAAAAATCGTGACGAATCATTAATAACTGTTTACGCTATATAGCTTCTAGGTCACGGTAGATTTATGTTTTAAATAAAAATCTAGAAATACATTTCACTGTGAAATAAATATCGATGTAAGAGTATTGTAGAAAGGAATGCTTTCCCAATAAATCAAATTTGAGGATAAGTGGATACTTTCAAGTTTTATTGTTATATAACATTTGCATTTTCTTTAGAAATTGTTAGATAACACTAAAATCTAGTCATCATAACAATCCATTTAACATCATAAATATGGTAATAATTAATAGATACTAGCGCATTGTACATAAAGTTAAAAGAAATTCCTTTTTAATAAATATTACAAAACTGAATATTCAAATTTCTAATGGGTGCTTTTTTCAACAGTAGTTATTTACTGTCTATCTGTAATCTTAAGTGTTTCCAACCAGTTTTCTGCTACATAATTTGTTCGGTGTATGAATCCCAATATAGTCACTCCACGTATCGCCAAACAATAGATAAACAGCAACTATTTTATTTCTAATTGAGTTTCGAAATGTTTGGTATGTTAGGCGTTTCTCGAACTTTTAAAAAATGCCTATATTCACTATGTGATTTCTATAAACAACTAGTTGGTTTAAACAAAATTTCTGTAGTGTTTGTATCAAACAATTGGGTTGGTGATTCAAAAAAGCTACTACTAAAACATATCCACATTGTATTTCATTTAGAAATTCAGCTCACCTTTAGTCTTAAACTCAAGTACGATTTCTTTCAAAGCTTATTATCAAAACACACGAATGCTTTGCCAAACAAAAGCTGGAGATTAGTGTTTTTACACATTTGAAATCATTAATCAATCATTGTTCTGATGAGTCCGATACCAGGACGAAACGGCCGTCCAGTGCTTCCAGGTTTCTAATGGTTGTCTAGCAATGATTGATTGATGATTTCAAATGTGAAAAATTTTGATTTCGATTAAAACTGAATTTAGATTAAAATACTAACCTGCACAAATAGAATATCGCCGAAAAAATACAAACTTCACAGTTAGAAAAAAAGTGATTTCTAATCATTTCATCCAGTCCTCAACATGGTTCAATACTATCAATGAACACCACCCTTTCTACCGAGATGAGTGATCATCATTATTCATTGCTTAACAAAACTTTAAATATTCATCATAGTCATTGTCTAGTTAGCACATAAATCAATACTTGCTTTATTTTTCACTATTATATCAAACAATCAATAAAATATTTCACTATGCAGAAAACATCGTATAATCAAGTTGATTAGAATTCAAATTATTTTCTGACATAACTATGTCAAAATAAAGTTTCATTTACAAAAAGGATACTTATATTGTATGTTAGCAATTATTTTATGCATTACATAGTACTATTTCCTGTTCATTGGAATGAAGATTTTTGCATCAGTAATACGTATAATTCTTGAAATAAACAAGCAATAAAAAAGTTATGACTTGAAAAAGAATGAAATGAAATTCATTTCCATACTTAAAGGATTGTAGAAAAAAAACAAGCGAAAATTATTAATGTACTAGAAAGTGTCAATAAAAAAAGTGCCCATGAAACTATCTTTATATTTTAAGTAAAGTTTACAATTGTTTTTTCAAATAAAAGTTTTGCATATAAATTAGTTGAGTAACGATGAAATACAGATTTGCATACACTAATGTAAATTACAGGTAAAATTTAGCATGGGAAAAAACATCTGCTTATAAATCACGCGAAGTGTTTGAATTTTGACAATTTCCAAATTATCTTCTTTGAGAATTGTTATTGTAAAGAAAGGAATTTGATTGTAGTCAAACATTTGGTGAAAATTTTTAGGAAAAAAATAACTGTACGTTTCTTAAAATTACTTCATTTAGTAATGATAGTAACATACATACACTAGATTGGCTGATCCGAATGTACTTGCTTTTATGCATGTTCATACCGTTTATCGTTGCTTTTCATAACAGATATCATTCATTTGTAGTGCCTCCACATATATTCGGATTCGCTTACATCTCATTTGGTTAAGCCCCTTCGATTAATTTATTTATCCAAGCCATTTGCGCAGCAACAACTCATATGTACCTTTCGCTCTTACTATTGTCTGGTTTGCATAAGCTCACATGACTTGTCTCACTTGCTTTTGACCTTGTCAACCATTCGTCCCTTTTATTCATGCGTGTGCATGCCTATCTCGTTGATCCCATGTCTGTCTTATTTCTGTCTGACTATATATTCTTAGCCATGCTCTATCTCTTGGGCTTGGCTCAACAGCCTGCTCCAATTCACGTCGCTTCTTTCGTTTTATTCGCTGCTTTTCAACCTCGCTTTATGGTGTGTCCAAAAATAAACGTATTCAACACGTTGTGTTCGCCTTCTTATTTATAAACCGTCAGAAGCTATTTGGTAACGATTGTCTGGACGAGCTAATCACGAAGCTTAAGACCACCACACACTGTAACCCATCCAACATCAAAAAATGACTTGTACAAATTTTTGGAACTAAAGTTAGCTTTAATCTACAAAATGTTATTTTCACTATGGATACATAAGATGATAAATCTCAACATGTGCAAAACCTGTAATACATTCTTCCTCCAATTCATTTCATAAACTTTCGAGAACTTTTCTATATATTCATTTCAAAAAAAAATTATTGATGTTAGTTATCTGTTTTGAAAATGCGTTTATTATGTTTTTTTCTCATTAACTGCAAACAATTGCATTTTTCAATTTTTAAAATATTTGATCAATGTAAAATGACTAGATGTAAATACCCTAGAGCTAAATTTTTAATAATGTTTAAGTTGTTGTTTCATACAGACAAACTAGAAATGTTCCTGTTAGTTTAAATTGTCTAGATCTGATCTTTGATTTAAACAACGGATTTCTAATTTATTGAGACGAGCGATTGAATTCCTCCAATTATTACATGTGATATGAATTTGTTAAGTATTATTATCTAAAGATATTTTTAAAGGTCACTTAGATTCTATACCTTCAAATGTTATAAAACAAATGTCTAAAACAGATTAGCAAAGTTATTTTTTCAACGAACAAAAATTTAGTTAATGTCATTTGTTGTGAATAAAGCAGAAATGATAAGTACAAACATGGAAATTCCCAAGTAATCAGTAAAAACTAAATGTTTTTTTTTAAGTGGAAAGAAAAATCCTACAAATGATGTTTAAGTGTTTGTTTTTTTTAGATGTTTTTTCTATCAGAACAAGTCATTAAATTACTAACATAAGTACTTTTGAAGATTAATACATTCACTCTATACAACTTTAAAGAAAATTCCAGCTTTAAAGAAGTCTATTTATTTTTTTTAATTATGTAGATTTTTCATGATAATGTCATGCCTAAACATAAATTAAATGTTCAAGTATTAAAGTTGTTCAGGTATTACAATTCGGAATATATATATATATATATATATATATATATATATATATATACTTAAGATAAACATTTGTTTCATTTTGGAAAAACATTGTTCAATCATCTGACAGTCAACTATCGAATTCAATTTCTGGTACTTTTAGAAGATATATTGTATAAAATTTATTTAAACGTCAATGAAGAATACATTCATGCCTTATGTGTAGGATTCAATATAAGTAGGATAGAATAAATTTTAATGGAAATAACATGAGTTTTTTTAGAATGGATTGAATACAAGCTAAATCGACAGGCGAACAAAATTTTTTTAACATAAATGAAGAGATATCACTGAATATTACTATCATATTCATAGTTATTTTCAATCCAACTTAAAAATCAAAAACAAATCACTGGTTTCATTAAATTTTGTGAAATAATGTAAAGAAGAAATAAATTATTTCCAAAATTTGCAGACAAATATGCCTTAAACTTTACTTTTCTCTTAAAATATAATAAAAAATAGTTAAGGTGAATGCAACCTTTACATTCATCTTAATGACATTTTTAAACTTGAAACAAATAAAGCAAGACAAAAATCAAAATATTTTCGTAAGAATTTTATTTTTGTCTCTTTTTTTTTGAAAGGGAAAAATAAATTTGAGAAGAAAAACCAATCATTGAATTTAAACAATTGAAATATAAATAAAACACCAAACTTAAGCATAGGTTTAGTTACTATACTGTCTGTTCTGAAATTCGTCAGAGCTTTATAATTCATTTTAGAAAGATTCTTTAAAAAATATAACATATATTTGACAAAATCACACAATGTAACTTCGAATTTATAAAAACAAAAACGATGTCGTTCAACTTATTGATTTGTAGACTGTTTTGATGAAACTGTTTACGGTCACACAATTCAAAAATCAATGAAGCATAAATTTCATATTCTTTTATTTATTTTTTTTAAAATAAAATGTCTTTTGGGAATATCGTAAATATATTGTTAATTTCAATATTTTATTATAATACAATCTTAAATGAAAGTTAACTGAACTACTTATAATCGCTTAATATCATTATTAATGAATACTCATTTCAATTATTAAAACTAATATTGACTTTATGTTGGTCATTTTAAAGGGACTAAGATGTCCATTTAGTCATTAGAAAATGCAAAATTTTTTTACTTATTATGCACATGAAATATAACCGTCACTAAACACTGAGGCTGAACATTTTGTGTAAGAAAGAATTATTTGTAATTTTACAAATAAACAATCACTAAATAGTGACTAATATCAATGTTTATCAGGTCCTTCCTAGTACTGATCGACTAAGTTGCAACTTGGTCACTAGCCTAGGAGACTTGATACTGCGTGTACTGTGTTGAGATATAAGATGATGGTTTGGAAGATTTTTGAACAAATTACTTTTTCAAATAATATATCCAGATTTTTAATTTGAAACCAGAAGTACTGGGAATTTATTCGTCAATCTTATTTAACACAGTCTCATGAAACTCACTGATCTTCAAATTTACTATAGTTGGAAATGTAATTGAATAATTTGTCATGCTTTCAGTCTAACTTACTACTATGGCTGAATTAAATAAATTCGAAATCAGTAATAGTGTAAAATATATATGTTTTATACTTGTAGATAATACCTATGTACCATTTTTTAGACTAAAAAATGTTTTATCTTAGTACGGAACTCGTCAGCAGTGCGTATCCACAAACCATGCACGCGGAAATCGAACTCAAGACTGTCAATCTCGCGTGCGAACGCTTAAACTCTAGATCTCTGAGTTAGCATCCAATAATTTTAATGTCTAACTTCAGACAATCCATGATGTTGTGCGATCTTTATCGACTACCTGTGGTGGATTACCGTCGCCTACTCTATACCTATTGAACTCCGCTGGTCATGGCTTCTCACTAATGAGCATATGATTGATATCAATGGACGGAGTTTGTTGATACAGAATTATTTCATAGGTGGAATCATGAGAAGTCATGATCAGTGGAATTCAATCTGTGTCGAGAAGGAGACAATAGTCCAGTTCACTTGTTAACAAGCCTTTGTATGTATACTTGTGTGTAGGAAAACTCAGTTTCTTTATCATCAAGTATTGCACGTAAAACTACCCCCTTTGAATCACTTTGCTTTCGTTTGTATTCGATTTATCTTAATTCAAATTCACTCTTACTCGAAATCAATTAGTTACTGTCTGTTTTCATATAAAGATTTCAACTGCAAATAAATCCTGTCAAAAACAATCTGTATTAGTGTTAGTATTTCATTGATCTTAAACTAATGATTAATAATTGAATATAAATTCTTACTTATACTAAAGCATATTAGCTTAAAACTAGAAGGATTTTTGAGATTTTACAGCTCCATCAGTTTAGAAATTTATTTCTCCACAATAAAATACAATGAAACTCATTAAATACACTTTATTATGTTGGAAACTAAACTAAGTCATGTATACTAGTAGACTTTCAAAACATTTTTTATGAAATACATACCTAAGTAGTGATTCAGTTCTGGTATAATCATTTTTCAAAAATGAAAAATTATAAATCCGCGCTGATTATGACAGGAAAATAGCATAATATTTGTACTGACATAAATTAACAAGTTATGAGAAAACCTGAATTGTAATTTGGTGTATATTCGTTAAAAATTGGTATATATATATTTGTATACATAAAAAATTCTTGTAGAATATTTATTCAGCTGAATAAATGTCATATAGTCGGTCATCAAAGTTGTTCGCCTAATAAATGGACACTTGTAACAAATTTATTTGATAAATATCCATCTGTTGTTTTTTTTCGTTTGTATTATTTAAATACAAATAGAAGATAAGAATTTTTTCGCTATGATTTAACTATTTTACAGATATTTTTGTGAAATATGTTTGGATCGTACATTATATGCACGTACTACTAGTAAATTGTCAGACGGAACTGTTTTCTGGGGTGAACAATTCGACTTAAAGTAAGTAATGAAATATTATTTTTTTTGAATATTTTACTGAATCTTTCCATAATAAACCTTAATGAAACTGAATTACATTAATTATTTTGTATTTTTAAGGTCGTTTTCTGTTGATAATGTGTTTCGTTTTGCAATCCTTCAATTCACAACCTTACAGATATAAAAAAAACACTGATCATGAATAATGCCAAGTTAATACATAATTCTGAGAAATATATTTAAAGAACAAGACTTACTGTTGTCTTTAGATTTATTGTTATAATTTATGTGTTTAAAGAAACATAAATTTGTATCCTTAAATATATTTAATATAATTCAATAAAAAGAAATTTGCAGATAGGGATAGCTATGGTGGACTTATCTGTAAACCTCTTTTGTTTTTTTGAAATTCAAAATTTTATATTACTGTTTGATGTAGACGTAAAATACAAACTCAACCTGAATAACTGCATTTTTTAAAAAAATCAAAACTTTATTACTCTAAACGTGAGTATTGAATTCAAATAGAAATTAATAAAATATTTTCTAGGTGTGAAAAATAGGCATCATTCTGATATTAACTATTCATTTTAACTACCACTGAAATGTAAGCCAGAGTCATTTATGCAAAAAAGGATTAATTTTTTTGTGAATTTTCACCAAATGGATTTTTTTTAACCGTTTTCGACTGTTAACAATTTTCGTCCAGATCATTTGAGAGCAGTTTAATACTGATTAAAATTAATCTTATGACAATAGTGTATGTAGGTTACCCTCATAGGGGGTTTTCCAACATAGATAAATACAAAGTACCATAATACAAACAAACTTATGTAATTTTTACTTTCATCAACAGATTGATACGAAACTACCCAAATATTTTAGTGACAGTATTGCTTTTCAAATATAATACTTTTTATGATAAATGTTTGTAGTATTTGAATTGTTATGAGAGAATTTTCATTTCTTACCAATTAGTGAATAATATTGTAGTTAGTGACCATAATAATCATACTGCTACATTCAATACCGAACAGATTTTAATAAATTCACATTAACGATAATAGAAATTAACTGATTCAAGTATGTGATAGATGACATTATTATTTTTACTTTAGTAATAACAACAAATATATTTATTTGAAATCATTAATCAATCATTGTTAGACCACCATTAGAAACCTGGAAGCACTGAACGGCTGTTTCGTCCTGGTTTGGGACTCATCAGCAGTGCGCTCACTGGTGACTAGCTTCATGAGGAAATTCTCGGAGTTCTAGTGAGAAGACGCGACCAGTGGAGTTCAACCCTTTCGGATGGAGTCAGTAACTACCAAAGACCAAATGGGAAAGGTCGCGCAAAATCTGTAGATTGATCATAGTTAGACATTAACTCCGCTGGATTCCGGCCCAGTGGTCCCGGGTTCGAAGTGCAGGAGTCGCGGATGCACACTACTGATGAGTCCCAACCCAGGACGAAACAGCCGTCCAGTGATTGCAGGTTTCTAGCGGTGATCTAACAATGATTGATTAATGATTTCAAATGTTTAAAAACAATAATCTCCATAACTACAGTTGAAAATGTATTTATACTATGATATGTTTACATTGATTGAACGATATGAAGTTAGATTTCAACATCAATAATAATTAAATCTATAAATCAATTTAGAACTAATATAATGTTTGATGCATTACATTTTTCTATAACAAAACTTGTACCATCTGCATTAAACCCATCGATGAACTAGCAGTTAACTAAATATTAGTAATTCATTTAAAATAGTAATAAGTATTAACTTCTTGAAGTCTTGATTTGATGTAAATACCAATATAGTTGTTCACATATTAATTTTATGAAGACATCTATACAGCAGGTTACATATGTGAAAGTATAGAACAACGATGCATATGTTAAAATTACATCAATTGTAAAAAAGAAGTAATAAGAATATTTGCCTATTTGAAAAGTCTGCAACAGAATTATAGATGATGTATCACTGTGAATAAATTAACACAGGTGAACTTGTTGTTCAAAATCAAATTTTTTGGGGAATCAACAGAATCAACCTTCAATTCGATTTATCTTTTTATAATTGTCATCTTTTAAATATATTTTATTTACTTAAAGAAAGATTTTTATCATTTCTTACATTTTCTTTCTGTTATATAATGACAGTAATTTACCTTCAATATCTATTATGACGATCAATCTATTCAGGCAAGCAACATCTGTAAAAGACAAACGACAAAAGAATAAAAATCAGAATCAATTTATCAGTATGTGATATATAATTTGTATACTCATACTTTTTTTTAAAAAACTTATTCATTCGAGTTAGTTACTGAAAAGAATATTTTACTAGTAGTATAAATCAACAAGCGGAAAATATATCAGTAGAAAGATTTAACAGAAATAATTTCTTCATGTGTATATACAATTTTACTGTTTTTCTTGTAGAAGAAAAACATACTGGGACCAAGTACACTATTCATATAAAAATACAAAATTCATCTTGATTTCAACTGATGGTAGTATTTCTATTACTTATAAGTTTGATCCCTATATGTAGAAGTGACATCTACGCAATAAATCGTATTTATTCGTCTTTGTGACTAGTTATAAACATGTTAGTTGTTTATTGTAGTAAAAATATCCTTGTTGAATAATATTGAAATACTACAGTATGTTTACAACATCGTAGAATAAGCTTGAAGCAGAACTTTGTATAATTTAAACAAGTTGACAGTATAATAAGTAAACCGACAGTTTTGACACCGTTTTGACATTTTTTCGATTTTTCCAAGTAAACATAATCGCAGTTATGTATCTTTGCTAGACCAATGTAAGTAATTTTGCGCAGAATATTCTCCACTATAAGAATGAACCACTCGATTAAATTGGTACATTCACTTCAAAAATAAGTTGAACAAACTTTAGTTCAATATCAATAGAATCCCCACAGAATCGATAATTATTGATCATAGAATGAAAAAAATAATCAGAATGATTCTTAACAGAAACTTTGTATGTAAAGGCACTCGACATCAGTGTTTAAGTAAGATTTACACCTTAAAAGATAATATTTTTCTTAGATCTCAATAAAAAAAGTAGATATACCTCGTGGCTTTGAACTCTAGATGTTAAATTACTGTATTATCGAGTGAATAATTCTTTATGCGCGTGTGTACTCCAGTTAGCCCATGAGGCGGTTGAAGGCAATCGGTAAATTTCAGTTTCATATACGTCAACTAAGTAAAACTGAAATCTTGAGGGAACTAATGTTCCAAAACGGATTCAAATTTGCATTACCTATCATTCTGTTCAGAGACGTCAGAGCTACATCATTATAGTAGCACATGACTTGCTGTTGATTTGATTAAAATTCATTGTATGCTTGATAATGGTCTATATCGTTGTTTTTTAATATTATAACCGCACAATTAAAGCTATGTTGTCATTTTGTAATAATAGGTTATGTTACTATTCCATTAAATGATGATTCAAAACAATGTGAAATACAAAAATGGTTTACAATGCAACCACCACCACCAGTACAAATGAATCCGAATATAAATTATATAGAAGGCCTACATGTTCATCATCAACAACATCAACAAAAACAACAAACCGATACAAATCAAACCTCACCGAAAAATTCATCAGATGGTGGGTCTGGAAGATTTCGTAAACATTCTACTCCAGCATCATGTTTTGGTTATTCTAATTCATTTTCAATTATACCTAGTTCACAGTATACTACTACTACTAATAATAATAATAATAATAGTAATAATAAATTAAATGATGACAATGAACTAAAGCATAATTATATTGAACAATCGAAAAAGAAATCTTCCTGGACTGCTGGTGTTAATACAGATGGTAATTTTCATAAAACTAATAAAATTAATCCTAAATTATCATCGCCTACATCAACAACTACTTCACCAAATCTTTCACCTAATAGTAATTCAGTGACAAATAATTTTATTTTACCTGAAAATTCTTTACCTCAATTAAGGATGAAAATACATTATCAAACCATTGATATCCTACCGATTGTTTGTTATGATGAATTAAAAGAGGTAAATAATTTCTGTTTATTAACTGAATGAAAATTCCGTGATGAATTTTTATGCAAATATTTACTATATTTCCTCTTTATACATTTTATTGAATGAATTAGATGATTGTTTAATCTTTCTAATTGTCTATATTCATCAATACAATTAAGCCTCAACTCGATGTATCTTAGCAAGGTGTCGGCTATATTGAAAATCGGTGTACTTTTAACCTCAACAACAACTCATTACCCGTTTTCGCAAACAAAAAAGCATTACTTCATTGCATAGATAGTGAATTGCCATGGTATAATTGATTTAAAGTACTAAACATATTCATTAATATGTATGGATAAGAAAAGTGTATATGTAATTTAAATCGTTTTGTTAAGCATAAAAAAAAATCATTCAACTTATTGCATTCATGTAAAAATGCACAAGTGTGAAGAAAATTACATAAATGAGCATCCTATGTCAATGAACCAACTAAAAGACAATGAATAGACAAAATGAGTAAATTTTTTAACTAACTTATCGTGAATACACTAAAATAAACCTGTTTACCAACCAATTAAAAACATTGACAAACAAACGATTAATATGTTAGTCGACAATCTACAACACACGCATAGGAGGTTAGGTTATCAGTAATTGACCAACTAGTTTCAATTTTAAATTACCAAATATGTTAAGGTCATAAACCTAATTACGATGATTTTGTATTTGCAGTGAAAATATGATGATTTATAAAATGAAGCTGTATCTATTTATTGTGAAATAAAATATTTGATTCCAGTTCAAATATATTATTGTGATTATATTACTGTATTAAGAAATCACCCTTTTAGACTAAGGAGTTATCAGTTTTCTTTTTACTTGCTCGTTTGATTGCCACCCTTTTACAAGCGCCACAATTAGTGTGAACTAACACAATAATGTTAGGCCAAATTTTAAGTCGAATTGACCTGGTCTAAAAAGTCTTACAAAGCGCAGTTAAATTTATTAAATACAAATGAATAAGGTAAATTTAGGAAATCTATCTTTTTATTCCTGCTGTAATGGTAGACTGAAAGATTAGTCATCAATTGGTTTTAACTTAAAATGCGAAAATCGAACTCAAGTTCTCATACAAACACTTCGGTACTAAACAAAGAATAAAATCAACAGCATAAAATCATTTCAACTGTATGAGATTTTGAAACTACTATTTTCAACTAGAATGATTTCCATGCATGAAAAGCAAACTGCTTTTATCTTGGATATCTCTCTATTTCTTATTGCGACAAATTTTTCTTTCCTTATAGTTTAACAAAACAAAATCCCTAATCAACTATTCAATGAAAATAAAACTAGGCATTTTTCAAAATATATGTTTTATTGAAAGTCAATGATGTGTGTATGACCTTGTCTGAATTTTAGTTCAGGCAAATCTAGCGTTTATACAGACAAAAAATATGTCGTTTATCTACTACCATTTTGTCAATAATAAAGGATGAGTCACCATCATTAGATAATTAGGCTGATTCCTAGTGGAAATATAATTGGATCAAAGGCTCTAGAACATTAGGAATAATACAATAAATTCTTATTGAATTTTTAGTAATTTTGTAATGAAATGATACAGTTTGAAAATAGTAAATTTTCTTTAGGTAATTAATCGGAACTATACAACTACTATGTTGAGAAAATTGAGATTGAAGTATAGGTCACTGTTTGTTGTTATCAGAGCTACATGAACCATTTCATAATGTTAGTTGTTTTAATCTAACTTGATGGTTATTTCATCACTACACTTGTTATATATCATGCTTCTAAATGTTATCCACCATATTTTTACTTTTAGTTCATTAAAACAAAATATTTAGATTTAATAAAAAGCTTGGAAATTAAATTATCAGCTAAACAAAAAGAAGAATTAGCCAGTTGTTTTGTAAATATTTTTGAAAAACTACCAGATTTATCTGTGGCAGAATTTTTATCATCATTACTTCGTGAAGATTTAAGTAATAATGGTAGGTTATTTTTTTAAAAATTGTTTTCTTTTATTACACTGTTAGAGCTATGAAAATAGTTTTAAATTATACTCTTTTTTGTCGAGTGGACCTATAAAAATAGACTAGTTCATTCTTGATCAATGTGATTCATAAAGTACAGCAATGTGCAAAACCATATCATGATAACTTTAAACTAATTCATTTAATAAACCTGGTAGCTTCTGACATCTTTATCAATATCATACTTATGACCTCTCTAGTTCACTGTCATTTACTTTCACTAACCAGTAAGCAGATGACCTTTTAGTAACCAGTATACAGCAAGAACAGAAGACTTGACTACTCCATGTTCAAACAACAGCGCAATACTAACTTACCTTAAACCCACAGGAGGATCAAAGACCAATTACCATCAGTCTAGGATTTCTCTCGTTATTATTTTCCAAACATACTTTTATATACAAACAAAACCAGATCATATCTCATCAATAAACGGAAATTAACAACTATACATCAGTGAGCTAAAAGTGGATGTGATTAGAAGGAGAGTGTCAATAATAACTGTCAACAAAATAAAAACAATAAATCATATGAATGTAATTTATAAGTAACTAGAAAGCTTGTGATAAAAGGAAAATATATATGTTTGTGGTAGTCTAGTTACACAACTTTTTAGAAGAGTATACCTCAAGATTTTTAACTAAAGTTTTAAAGACTATTATTATTTCCTTCAAACTATTTATAAACTACCAATATCTAGAATCGTCAAGAGTATTAAATATCGACCACTTATCTGAATGTGAATACCATGTACAATTATTCATCAAAGTGAAACAATTTACGCACATTGTGCATTCTTGCGTGAAATTTGAACACAATTTGTATATAGGCTGATTACAGTATGAGACTCACTTTTAAAAATATTTAACGTCAATTTTACCTCTAACGGACTTAACTGAATAGATTTATTTTAATGGAGTGGTCATCAATCTATGTTCATGTATCTGGAAAGGACCAACTCGTCAGAATTCATTTTATTTGTAATTCTGATACTGACTGTCCATAAAAGTCTTATTATAAGTAATGTTTACTGACCTATCAAAGATATGTAAATGTTATCATCTATTTAACATATTCATATATAAACATATATTTACTGTACATTACCGCTCACCTCTATTAACTGTGACCTAAATAAATCGTTTTTGAGATATTAACAATATCTATCGTCTCATATTTGCCATAACGGTTTCAAACACCACTCTATCTTCAAGTTAATGTATTTTCTTTCACATAATATGGAACATCTGCGAAACAATGTATCTTGGGCTACAGAACTATTTCAAATGTAATCGAAAGCTTAAACAACAACAATATATCAGTTCAATCAATTAGTCATCATCAGACTGTCTTAATGTCATATTTAATTTTGAACTCATATGATATAATTTTAGTGAAACCAAATGTATAAAAGAATACTTCACATTTTCAATTGAACTGGTTAACTCTCCAAAAAAAACTAGCTAACAATACTGGGTCTAAATATGAACCAAACCTATAACTAGAAACTTCAATTGACCTTGTATAAAAATGATAAGGGTTATCTGATTGAAGAATACGTTTGTTGTTAAATAAATTCTAAAGTTATCATGTAAATTCAAATTGTTTAGTTTTCAGTTAAATCGTCATTAGACTTCACTCTAATATACATGAATATTTATATGAATGTGTTAAATCAATCAAGGCAATTTATGAGTCAATAATCGCAATGAAATAGATTGCGTAACTATACATAATAGGTAAAATTTCAAGTTGAATGTAGGAAAACAGGTGTACTGTTAGTGGTAAGAACAGTAAAATACAGTGACAAAAGTTTTTTTTTTCAGTAGTTCAACATTGGAAGTGGTAGATCAAACGTGGATAAATAGACTTAGAATATTAATCACGAAGCTTCATTAAAATTATGTCACCAGAAGAGCGTAAAATTGACTAGGTAGTGAAGAATGAAAGCGAAAAAAATTACAAATACGATGTGAAAATAATATTATGAATAATAAAAAAACAAAACATTTAAAATCGTTTATTAAGTTTTCTTTGGCCAAGGAAAGGAACGGGGGTGTCACGAAATTCTTCTGAACACATAAATTGGGGTTGAATGTTCGAATTCCTATGGCTTCTGCTATATGTACGAGACGGGATCAAACTCCGTTGGGAAATGACGGAAGTATACAATAGGTCACTCGCAGTCATTCGGTAATATCCATATTATGACCACTATCAATCAGGTGTGTCAAGATAACTGTGTATTGTTTTTATCTGGCCCTCTCTAAACCATACTGGGGGATGTTCACTCACTGATTGGTTAAGTTTCCCGGTAGTATGCCCAATATAGCTACTACCAGAAATCTATTGTATTTTCACACTTGATTGTCCATCTAATTAATTTTTTTTTCAGAAAATATAGACATTTAGTATCCGATGGAAGTAGAAATTTTGTTCACAGCTATTTGAAAACTAATAAGAAGTTTGTGTAGGTTTTTTTTAGATTATTGTTTAAATCTTAAAATGAATTTAGCTTCATGAGTATTTCAAACTTAACGTATCGATTTTTTTGCATTTAAATTAAGGAAATGAATCTATGATATTTCGAGCTAATTCAACAGGATCAAAAGCAATGGAATGTTATATAAAATTAGTGGGAACCGATGTAAGTCATGATGTAACCACCCGTACAGCCTTAATATATACTGTATCATAAACTTTTTTCGTATCACTCCGCTTTCTAGATACAATGGAATACAAAACACTTCAAATGTAGTAGCAATGCGAAAAAATTTTGTTTACTTCTAAAAATGAATATTTTTTATTTACCCCGTTATACAGTTTGATCATTAAATTTAACAGTTGTCTTTCTTAAGTGTTTACTATACTTATTATCAATGAATCTCACCAATCTGAGAGTCACTCATACCATCCAGAGTAGTAGTAGTAGTAGTAGTAGTAGTAGTAGTAGTAGTAGTATCCACATTGGTTCTTTGCAAAAGAAGAATGATATTTTTCTGATCAAAGGTTAAGCAACACTGAAACAGTCAGATAAGTAACCATCTAAACAACGGTGACATCAACAAAAACAAGAAACTATCAATCTTACCAGTTCTGTTTGTATACTGAGACAGATTTAATTAAACATTAAGAATTCTAACATATATAAGCAACACAATATAGTCGAATAAAACATTTTGACAGTTGTTTTTTTCGGGGATATTTCGGCTTAGGAAAAAAATAAATCAAAAATAAGTAACAGCTCAAAATGAAAGAGGAGAAAAATTCAATTTTCACACTCAGTTAGGCATTAAAGGAAATCGACTATATATTGTTTTATTTATCAATAAAGCATTTTTTAATCATCCCTATTATTATTATTATTATTATTATTATTATTATTATTACTAGTGTTGCTGTGTTCTTTTCGCGTCATCTAGAGATTTTTATTTAAACATACATTTAATCGATTAGTGAATAAATAAATAAATAAATAAAATTTTCTAGATGGAAAATGACAAGAAAGAAAATAAAAGCACAACTAGAATAGTCGATGTGAATAGTAATGATGAGAATACGACCAAATACAACCAAACATAATGTGTATATACTTCCGTTTACTATCGAAATTCAACACCTAATAGAGAACTATATCCAGTGTATCATTGATTTTTTTGTCGAGAACAAAAATCAGGACAAAGTCAATGACACCTGCATACGCGTACGCACACAATAGATCGAAATGATAATGTGAATATTAAAATGGTTTGAAAGAAGAAAAAAATGAGGAAGTACAATGATGATATGAATTAATTATTCAATATCATATCAACTAGCAGTAGATTTTATTTTAAATGTAATTGATTACAGGATGGGAATAGTTTGTGGTTTGTTGTGTTTTTTTTTGCATTATAAGTATATCATACCAAAAATGAGATTGTTTGATTAATAATAATAAAGAAAAACGAATTCATTCATGTTGACAAAATGGATGAGTAAATATTAACAAATAAAGTATTAAGTATTTTCAATTAACACTTTTAAACACTTTTGTCTCTATGAAAACTTATCTGTTCATTTAGTATGAATCTTTAGGTGTACAAAAATTATGACAAAGTCAAAATATCTGTTTAATACTTATTTACTTACTTAAGCTTGTTACCCCTAATATAGAGCATAGACCATCAACCAGCATTCTTCAATCTAATGAGCCTTCTTTTCCAGTTCTACCCAATTACTGTTCATTCTTTTTTTATCTGTCTCCACTACTCAGAGTAATGTATGCTTTGTTCTACCTGTTCTCCTTTGACTTTGAGGGTTTCAAGTGAGGAATAGTCTTGTGATACAGTTAGGTGCTTTTCGCAAAGTGTTTCCTATATACTCCCATCGATTTTTCCTAATTTCTTCCTCTACTGTAATCTCGTTTGTTCTCCGCCCTCAGTAGGCTGTCGCTGATGGCGTCTGGCCAACAGATCCAAAGTATTCTGAATTTAATTCAATTTCTCAGTATGTGAAAGATATCGGGAATTCGAAGGAAATTACATTCAGACTATGACTGTGAAAATATTTTCATTAATGCCACTGGAAAAACTATGATTTGGTAGGATGACACTAGAATAAATGTCATTGTTAATGTATAACATGAAATGTCAAGAAATAATGTTCTAAAGTAAAATTTATAGTTGACATTAATAATGCTAGGTTACTAAAACAAGAATAAAATTAAACATTCATAAATAAAACCATTCTCTTACTTTCATCCATCTAACAAAGAACCTACACCATTCCTTTACGTAGATAATTGAAATATAAACTTTAAACTATGCAACCATCGATTTGATGCCTAATTTCATGATGAATATCTCTCAGGATTGACCAGTTCTTACAAATCAGCGTCACTAAGATAAATGTTTTTTTACGTAAAAGTTAGTGGAATCAAGTTTAGAGGAAGCCATCTAAAAGCTATTAGAAAGATGTATCGGATTTCTCAAGGAAATAAATGGTTATTCAGACATTTAAGACAAAATCATTCAGTGGTATAACGAACAGTCTGCATATAGATGTAAACAGTTTTTCTAGATGAATACCAAGTAGTCTCTAAGTCTATTAATTAGTGTATGTTTCATTTCATGACCTCTTCGATCTCTGATTAAAACTCTTTAGCGATCAAAAACAAAACAACTGATTATTGTGGTAGTCTGAACTTATGAACCTTCATTGAATTCGAACAGATTTACAGACATCTCAAATTATTTTTATTACTCTAAATAATAATTCATTTAGAACCTCACTGATTACTGAACTGTTAACCCTCAACTGCTGATCATTGACTGACTTTACTTTAAAACAACTATGACTTATGATCTTTGAGTTTGGTATTAGACTAATACATTTTATAAACCATTACAAAACTGATTGCTGAACTATTTTTAATTCTTGTTCAACGATCTAGTGGATTTAGTCAATTATTTTAAGCTAACAGGATTAAAACAAATTTTAGAATACTATATAAATTGTATAGTAACTTTATACTTACGATTTGAACTGTAACGTCATAACTAAGCAATGAAAAGTATTTCTATGCATTTTGAAAGTAATAGAAATGTCACTAGTTTGAGGAAAATGTATGTCTGAAAATAATGCTTCTAATTTTTTTAATTTAACCAATAGTAATTAGCTTCATAGATAAATTAACTTTATGACTGGCAAAGAACATCTGCATCATTTACATAGATTGTGACATTTCAATAGTAATACACATCCGAACAGACGGTGTATATGCAATGAGTAAAGTGAAAATGTATTAATTATTGTTAAAAGTAAAGATTACAGCACGTATGATCATTTGCATTTGACATATTTTAAAATCATCAATTGGATAATTGTAGATAAAAGCAGTTTAATAGAATCAATTTTTTCCAGACAAAGTCTGCCATTCCATATTACTATAACATTTAATTCAAATTCGCTAGATGGAAACATTATATATATATATATATATATATATATATATATATCATTAAATAAATTCAATGTGCTAATCACCTCATATCCAAACAAAAATATCTTCCTGTATACATTTTATTTGTGAAATAGTACTGATAATGAATGATGTATGTTTGAATGGCAAAATTCTCTCATAGTTAAATCATAGCTTTAGCGAATACTTACAACCATAAACCAGCAAAAACGGATTGTAATTACAATCGCATAACGATTGTATTCATGTCAGTTCTTCGTAGACTATAAAAATATATGAAATCAATAAACAATATGGTGGATAATGGATTACATACTACAATTCAATTGCCTATGTTATTTTGCTGAACAATAATTGTTCACACACTATGACATCTACATAAGGTGCATCTTAAATTCCATTCATTTTTTTGTCTTGGATTTCAATCAGAAAAGAAAAACTTCAGCATATTCACATTTTCTAATGGATATTTAACTATTATTGTGTTATTCAAGTTAAAATAATTTGTATCGTTTTATTATTATGATAGATTATGAATTCGATCGATAGTTATTAGGTTGTTGTAAAACCTAATGAATTTTTTGTATGAAAAGCAACTGTTTTTAAATTGACTATAGTAATAACAGTAAAATATTGAACAAATTGAGTAGTTATGTTTTTACAATAAAGAAATTTTACTTGATTGATGGTAAGCAAACCCTTTAACTGTTTCAGTCTCGATAAAGTTCATTTGAATGGTAAAACAGAAAGGTGTTTTCAATGTTATTGTTACATAAAGTATGAAGTGATTAGTTTAACATAGTTATAAAATATTTACATCAAATAAAATCGTGCATTATGAAGTGACATTTCTTTATGAATCTACTTGATAAGAATAGTCAGTTAGCTAACTAAATTAATGCAGGTGAACATCAGTCGATTGGCAAGAAACAAATTTTCTGAACAAGTTACGCTTAATTTTTATGTATATATTCTCAGATTTACTAGGAAATACTATTTGAAAGTTTCCGTTACACACAAGAAAATTAAGAAACAGATATCAGTTGTTTCGTCATGAATTTAAAACTAAGGATTCTACTAGGATAGGAAAAAGTGCTGAACTAACCTTTAGTGACATCGTTATTATATCGGATTCAACTAAATTAGTCTTTGGAAACTTCTTAGTTTTCAGAGAATTTTCTAACTGAAGTGAGAATTATGTGAAAATCATCGATGCGAGGTGGTGACCATGCACGCTACTGATCGATATTTAGTAATCATTCGGTTAGTTACATAGAAAAATGAAATACTTTTATCCATTATTTATTGTATTTATCCCCAATTAGTAAATATTTTCTATCTCACATGTAGCATAAACTTACCATATGAAGCACTGTATCAGCCCTCGATTATTATTCATAAACTTATGTAAGACAAATATGTCAATTAAGGACACTTTTGAACTTCTATGGAAAGAGATTCATGTTTTCTTCATAAAGAAGCAGTTTGAAATTAATTGAATTACCTGTGAATCATTTACGAAAGTAAATTTAAATACGCTGAATATACCAATATACAAGTGATTAATAGAGCCATGGATTCGTATTACAACCGGTATCAGTTATTACTCATTAAATGAGCGAATTTGTGATGGCTGAAATCGAATAAGAGATTCAAATTCCATTTGAAGCATCTACCATCAATTTATTTTTAAAGTGCATTTTAGTTACTCGTAAGTAATAAGAAATAAAAGCCCTATTTTTTTAAGGGTGATATATTTTCATAGACTGACAAGATACTACTTGAAATGCAAACTGAGAATCAAATTAAGCAAACTCCACAAACCCCCTATACATTTCGTTTTAGTTAAGCTCCTTGGATTTATTTGCAGATAAAGGGTAGATAAGAATGTGTAACCTTTCAGGTTTATTGTTGTTTTTTATTACGACGGCATACATTATTTAATACAAGTCATTTTAAGGTCACGTTTATAGAATGATTAAAAATATGCAGAGTATGTGAAGAACAATAGCGACATTCCTTATCAACAAAATGATAAGCTAATGTTTATGAGTACTTAATAAACTGGTGATTTACATTCACAGCGATTCAAACAAAACAAATTTTACTCAATTATTGCGTAACGTTATCTGTCATTTGGCATCAAAAACACGTATGATTTGATTAGAATTGATATTTAGAGAAGTATTTCAGCAACATTTCTTGTTGTTTAATTTCGTCATAGACATGCTGCTAGACATAACATTATCTTCATCTGAATTTTCAGGAGTGGACCATCTACCAGGAAAATCGCTTGCTGACTTAGAATATGTCGATGACATAGTTCTGTTCAGCGAAGATGCAGAGACTTCTGACTACCCTATCAACAATGCAAACATGTTCGGGACGCACGGATACAGAAAGCTCGATTGGCTTTTGCCAACCTGCGTCACTTATGGCGTAGGCGTGATATCCGTTCACCAACCAAAGGGCGGGTGTACTGCGCAGCAGTCCGTTCGTGAAAAATGGCCGTTAAGAGTAGAAGATGTTCGTAGGTTACTAGTATTCGATCATAGATGTTTAAGAAGCATTGCTCGTATATCGTGGGACAGCCGAGTAAGCAATGCTGTCGTTAGGAAGCGAGTGCTAGGTAAGGATGGTAGGTTAACAGATGAATTGATGAAACTTCATCAGTTGAGGTGGTTAGGACATGTGTTATGTGTGCCTAACCACCGACCGCCTTGACGAGCTATGTTTTGTGGTGTAGGAGTAGGTTGAAAGAAAGCTAGAGGCAGCCAAACTAAAACATGGCAGAAATCCATGAAATCACTGACAAGTGGACTGAGTCATGTTGGTAGATGTAGGCTACGTTGTTGTGGTCCGCGAGATGAATGTCGTCAATGGTTAGAGACCTTGAGTGACATGGCTCGAAATCGTTTGCAAGGCGCAGGTGCATCCATTATTTGTGTTCTCTCAAATTCTAACCTTCTGAATTCTTCATCATCTTTATCTTTCTCTTTCTAAAGTTATCTCACCAAATTATATCTTCTCCATTACTGCTAATACTTCTACTATCGCTACCACTATTGGATTCGAACTGATTGTTGCGTCTCTGTGCTAATGTGGTATGGCAACCTGAACTCATGTACCCACGTACGAAGTTCTACGTTGAAACTGACTAACATTTCTTGTAGACTGAGCGTAGACATATCAAAATTCGACTTTTTATCTGTTATGTATTTTAATCCATGGATAATAAATAGGCCATGATCTCCTGTTTTTGATGTGTGTGATGGTCAATACTTATAGAATTTTAGGATATTTTAAGAAAACTCCTACATGATGCAGTCAGCTAACAAGTTTCATTGTTTTCATAAATATAGCAAAAACAAGTAAATTTAGTTGTTATTCAATAATATTGGTAAATATCAAGAGTTTATACTGAAACTATATTCTAAGTACTAAATATGTCAATGTGTCAAGACGTTTAAACTTGTGTACAATATTATTTATTCATACTCTAACTATCCTATCTAAAGAAATTACAAATCACTTGAAAAGTACTTGCTAAATATTAGTCTTTTAATTATTAGACGTTTTGGGAATCTGTAACACTGAACACCCAGTTTATTTTGTTTACATAACAGTTTGAAAATTACACTTTCAGTCCTTTTTTCTTTACAAAGAACTAAATCCTATTCAAATTGAACAGTTTAGGGTATGCGTTAACAGAGGTATTAATAAATTATTGAGACCATATATTTTAGGGTGATTCTAATTTATAGTGGAGTATCTATCAAAATTCTTCAACTTATGTTTACTTCACTGAACACCTCATCGTTACTGAATACTTTCTAAATAATTATTTCTCTTTTCTAATATGACTGGTAAAGTAAAATGACTAGTATATATTTACTGTGCTTATTCAGTTGATGTAACTTGAATAATCTTACGGACAAATATTTATAGTTTAAAATTGCACTCTATATCTTTCGATTGTGTTATTATGGAATCATTAAGTCATTTAACTGAATCAGAATATAAAATTAAGTAAACTTAGCTGGGTTATTTTAATAATTACGCTCAAAGGAGAGAGAGAAATCTATTTTATTACTACGTTGTACAAAGTAACAAACATTTTATTATCTTTCTATTATCTTTTAGTATTTACAGTTCATTCTTGGTCCGATAATCGATCAATTACTTGTAGTTGGAGATGAATTTGAAATAGATCCTTCAAGATTAGGAGCTTCTGGTGATTCATCAAACAATCGAAATCAATCATCTGCAATACTAGAAAGAAACCGTACTGCTTTACTGAAATATGTTACCATGATCTGGCAAAGGATTGAATCAAGTCAATGTAAACTACCTAAGTAAGTTGAGATACGCTTTAATCATAGGAAATAATTGCTGAAAGTATAACCATCTCTAATAATAAATACTGTATTTATTATTCTTTTAAAAGACTTCATCCGCTGATATATTTGAATTAAAACATGTTAATTAACAATAAAGACCATTACATCAAATGTGTTTAAACATAGACTTTTGTAAACATGAGATATAACATCAAATATTGTTGAACGATACTACTTTATTCTCATAAATAATCATAATTCATGGATGTGTGAGGCTCAACATCAAATGATACTTTTTATCTTTGTAAATACCATTACTGAATAGAAAAATATGGAGACGTCTTTGGATGACAGCTGCAAAATCTCCAAAAAAACAAGTAATTTCTTGTTTTAATCATTCAAAAACGTTCAATTTCGATCGTAACACATAGTTATTATTTCTTGAAGATTTTTCTAAGAATATTAAGCAGTAAACTTGGTTCTACCGTTAAATCAAACATTTTTTTTCAACTCATTAATAGATTTTTATCAGGCAAAATATAAATATACAGATGAATTGAAAGAGTTCAGTTAAAAATTTAACTCAGTAATAAGTTTAGGTATTCTCATTTAATCACTAACAATAGAAAAAGTAATCATGTTGAATTTACTTTGATCTACTTAAATCTTTAGTAAAGTATACTAACCATATTGGTTATTCGAACTTGTCATTATTGATGGACAAGAAATCACATTTTCTTTCACTATAGTATTCACTATTTAATAATACAAATGATCATTATTGTTGATCAATAAACTTTGGATAAAAATTAGTGAAAATACCACCTATCTAGTATATTTTTGTTCAGTATTTCATATCCAAAATGTAATTGGATTATCATTGTCTATTTGAGTTTAGGATTCAATTCATTAAACGTGTATGTATCAAATACTGCAAAGAAAGACTAATATAAATCAGCTCTGATAACACAATCTTAGTTTGTCCTTTACAACTACTATCTAAATTCTTTTAATTAGAAATTTCTTATATTGTTAATTATTTAACAAAAAAAACATATTTTTTTCCTTTTAAGAGAGACCGATCGGCTGATATTAAATTGCATAATTTTTAATTAATTCATAACTTATGTTACTGATTAGGTAAAACTAAATAGTTAATTACTTTATTAATTAAATTAACTATAAGTATTGGAATTTTCTCTTAATTAACTTGTCATCATATGACTGAAATGACCAAAATTATGACAACCATTATTTATATGATTCATACCCAGCACAACATAATTAATTAATTAATTAAATTGATTAATTAATTAACTTGAACCAAAAACAGGAATTAAACATGATACATCTTAGTAAGTGTAAACTATAATCTGGATGTGATTCATACAGAATCACTAACATTTAATAATTGAAACTTTACAGAGATTAAAATTATGCAACTGTTTTTTATTACGCGGTTGTGAAGATTGTTAAGTTACAGATTTTTGAAACCACGAATCGATCAGTGTTAGACCACTATTAGAAACCTGGAAGCACTGGACAGCCGTTTCGTCCTGGTATGGGACTCGTCAGCAGTGCGCATCCACGACTCCTGCACCTCGCAGGATTCATAATCTAATACTGATTTACAATAGATAGAGTAGTGCTAGTTGGTTGATTAGTAATCAGTGTGTTGTTTTTACATTAAAAACAAGTAGAAAAAAAATATTCGTGACAGGATATGATTTCTTTAAATGGTTGGGATCGTAATTCAAGTAGTGTAAAATTTACATTATTCTATTCAATTTGCCTTTATTTGATCAATAAATTATTTACAAGCAGCACAGAAACATTTTTATCCACATAATTTAGTTACAGACTTATTTTGCGGATATATAATTTAGTTAACTATGGACGAAATAATCATTTGTATTATCTGTTAAAGATTAAATATTTTTTAAGATGCTAATAGATTAAGCTAATTTTAATCTGTCATTATTAAGTTAACAATTCTTTTCGGCATTAAAAGAAATCTATGTTTGTCTGAGGTAGATTACACGACTTATTTATGAAAATATTTCCGTGTAACAAAAACGGATTAGTTACTTTTTCGAATTTGAGGTAATACAAGTAGTACCTTCTGCTAGAGTACATTAACTATAAAAGAGGACATTTTGTACAATATTTGGTGTGATCAAATGTCATAGTAATGTAATTCACAATAAGGCATCGATATAAATGTAAATGTTTCAATTTATATTTCAGTACTAATAGAGACTTTTATTAATTCCTCATACCGTTAAACTTAATTAATCTGTTGTAATCTAGAGATAATTTTTTACTTTTTGTTAATTTGTATTTTAGAGAATTACGTGATGTTTTCATTGCACTTGCATCGACAATTGAAGAATCACACGGAGTTCAATCGTCTGCACATTTAATTTCAAGTTGTTTATTTCTACGTTTTATTTGTCCAGCTATACATGGTCCAGTGTTATTTGGTTTAGCTTCATCTGTACCAGAAAATAATCGTATTTCTAGAAATTTAACTTTAATAGCAAAAGTTTTACAAAATCTAGCTAATTTAACATTATTCGAAGATAAAGAACATCATATGAAAGTATTAAATCCATTTGTTGAACAAGAAATTCCAACAATGTATCAGTTTCTTCGATCAATTTCTTCAAATACTGACGCCAATTATCATACAGCAATTAATTTTGATTGTCATGAATTTATTGAATTAGGATATGAATTTGCAAAACTTACTCAATTACTTAACAATCATGTTAGTAAAATTAATGTAAGTTCAACAGTGAATTTATTTTGTGCAGTGTATTTGTTTGTTAAACAGAACCGAAGAAAAAAACGATCTTAAAAATGATAAACTATTTTTTAATTTTACACATTACAAATCACCTACATTTTTCCATTGAATCAATACAAACAGTGATAATCTCTTAAGGAAATTCAATAACATCAAAAAGATTTTAATTAGATTTTTCCTAGTGATCAATTTGAAAAAAAATTAACAACTAACATTGTTTTTAAAAATATAAATAGATATATTTTTCATAAAAGAAATGCGCTACATGAATTCGGTAATGATAAAACTTGTATGAGTAGCTTTTCAATTTTACCTAACATTCTTCAGTACATTTTTTTTGTAGATTTAAATGGTATAGTTTTAACTGAACTCAAGATTTATATTCTTACTTATAAATTAGCTCACAATACAATTAATATTCTTTTCGAAATAAATCTGGTCACTCATATACTTCTTACTTGTCAATGTATTTTATATGAAAATTAATAAAAGGTCAATGAAATAAAAGTTCAAAAAAACATCAGGTGATAATTGTAAATGAAGGAGAGATAAAATTAACATAGCACAGAAAGAATAGGAAATTGTCACGTTCCTCTAGGTCATAAAATGACTTTATGATTGCCAGGGTAAATTCAAGGTTACACCAAATTGTTTATGTATACATAAGGGTGGTTTCGAATTTATGAATGGTGAGAAACTTACTTACTTACTTACTTACGCCTGTTACCCCCAATGGAGCACAGGCCACCCACCAGTTTTCTCCAACCAACTCTGTACTCGGCTTCCCTTTCTAGTTATTTCCAGTTTTTGTTCATTCCTCTCATATCTTTCTCTATTTCTCGGCGTGTTGTGTTCCTTGGCCTTCCTCTTTTCCTTCTACATTGAGGGTTCCGAGTGGGGGCTTGTCTTGTGACGCAGTTAGGTGCTTTTTGTAGTGTGACTCCTATCCACTTCCACCGCTTCTGCCTTATTTCCTCCTCCACTGAAGGAGTCTGGTTTGTTTTCTCCCACAGTAGGTTGTTGCTGATAGTGTTTGGTCAACGAATCCGAAGTATTTTGTGTAGACAACTGGTGCAAAAACATCACATTTTTTTTAGATCAACTACATATTCTCATTGTTCTATCAAAATTTATGAAAGGCAGTAATTGTTTTAAAATGGATTCATCATGTTACATTGAATTCTTTTCAGTTTTGCCAATATTTATTATTTCTTCAAAATTATTAGGAATAATACAATTTTTAAGTAAACATTTTAAATACAGAATTGAAAAGAAAATTTATCTAAATTATTCAATAATATTTTAAAATAAATCATTTATAAAATAATTAATAAAACTGTTTTACAAGAATAGGTAGCATTTGAATCAACTATTCATTTAAGTCTATAAAAGCATACCTAATTTAAAAGATGATTTGAATTATATAAAAATGTATTGCACATTTAATTCATAGTTTTCTACATACATCCATAGATTTATTTTCATTTAACATGAAAGTCCTAATGAAAAAATTCAATGAAAGGCTAAATATTTCAGTTTCTTATTAATTTTTTGATTACTGTAAAAAAAACTGTCTATGCAAAAGTTTCTCCTTTTTTTTCATATTCAGTGAGAATCATTAAATAAGTTAGAATAGAATAAGCAAAAGCAGTGAAAATAATCTCCTTTTACCCCCCCCCCCTTATGGTTACACAAATAAACAGTGCATAATTTTTATACTAGTAAACTTATAATGGGAGGGAAACTAATCAGTTAAGGGAATATCGATTGCTGTTAGAGGTGTACAACAGGTGTACTGGTTACTAACACTGTAGGATAAAAAAATTTGATGGGATTCAAAGTAAAAATTGATTAATAATGGATTTAATGAACTGAGAGAGTGAGCACCTTTTTCCAATAAACAACTACTTGAAGTTAGTAACACTTCATTTTTTTAAATTAGTTTTTGATTTGTTGTTAGTTCTGTTCTTTTAAGTAACGTACAGACGTCGACGGAAATCCATTGGAAAAGGTTAGCTGTTCTGTTTCTAGGGTCAGCAATTTTAATTAAATGCTGACTAATTGACTGAAATATCTTACTTTCGTTATGACTCAGCACAGTCAGCAGTATGACTACACCGTTGGACATCGAGTTTTCGCCTTCAGTATTATCATTCTCAAGTAAACTTGCCTAGTATGGTAGGACCTGAAAGAACAAGTTTTCTAGCCAATGTATTTTCATCAGTTCATCGTGATAGGCAAGCATGATCACTCTATCAAGATGGAAGCTACCATCTGAGTGAGTTAAATTGTATAAAACAAATTTACTACCTCACAATTTATTATTCTGTTGCAAAACTGTAATGATGAAATCAGTCAAGGAAGAAATAAGAATAGTTCACACTAAATACACTGAAAACTGCATAAAAAAAATGAAATATTCACTAAACAAATCTAACCGAATGCCTGCTCACCATGAGGTCAGCGGATCCTGTGTATCAGGTCAGTTACAACGTGGAACTTCGTACATGAGTACATAAGTTCAGCTTGCCATACCGCATCAACACAGATACGCACCTGTCAGTTCAAATCAAATGGTGGTAGCGATAGTAGAAGTATAGCAGTAACGGAGAAGATTAGTGTATAATTCAGTGAGATAAAGTTATAAAGAGAAAGATAGAGATGATGAGGAACTGAGGAGTTTAGAATTTGAGAGAACACAATGAATGAATGCACCTGCACCTGTGTATAAAATACATACTGATGAAAAATAAGTCAAAATATCTACTGTTTATCAGCATTTTTTAAATTAATTTAACCACTGACAATTATCTATTCTTTGTTATTATGGTATTTAGTTGGCAGATTTTCGAAAAATTTATTTTCTAATTCCTTCTGCAATTCAAACGTTTTAGATCACACCACAAATTGCTGAATTACCAGGTCTTTTACAGAATATTACAGAATCATTAAATAGTCAAACCTTCAAATCATGGAATAATAAAAGTCAGACCAATTTCGATAGAACCGCAAATAGTAGTTCAAATTTTTTTAGAAGTGGAATACCAAGACATCATAGTTTCGCGAACACTAATTCTATTTCAAGCATTGATAACCGAAGGCAATCAGAAACAACTAACAGTACAAAACCACCGGTAAGTGATTAGATAGCATGTTATTCTGAACTAATGAAAAAATAACACATTTTTGAGAAATGTTAAGTAATTATTGATATAGAGTGCTGTGAAAAATATTCTACTTGAAGCTTCGAATCAAGGACTAGGTTTAATCACTGATAAATAGAAAGCAGTTGGCAGCTTCTTCGTTTTAGTATGGGAATCCTCAGAATTTCGCATACCCATTCTCAACAGAGTTCGAATACATGACGGTCTCGCAGTGAGTGATTAACCTTCAGACAGTTGAGTTAGTGTCTAATGGTTCACATTTCTGACTTCGGGTTTTTCTTGGTGCTGTGTGATTGCTAATGATGATATTTATCTCACGGCCGGCATTGTTGAACTCCGCTCGTTATGCAACGTAGCGATTTTAAACAATATATTGAAGTTCTAAATAAAAATATCAAGCAGATATTTAGAAAACAAATGCAAGTTTGTAAATGTATTACTAGATTTAAAATGCTTCCTAGATCAACACAGCTAATTAGTTTTACTTACCATAGAACTTTTACATAATGAAATATGATAAGAGAAATTGACATTTCTCGGAAGATAATCATCAAAAGATTAATTAAAGCCTTGGAATGATAATTACATTAAGCATTACTTAGCAACAATACAATTTCGAAAATGAACTTAAACGTACTACTTAATACATATATATATATATATATATATATATATATATATATATATCAACTATAACATTTTTATGGATATTTAATGAAGAAACAATCTTTATTATCATAAGTTGAAAAATTAAGACCCTACACATTATATTATAATAAATAAATTTATTATTTGTTTTCCCTTTGTAAAATTCAATAGCCCTATTTCTTTTATCTTAAAATTGTCTTTTAAAAAATATTCTTCATGTACAATAAAAGATTAGTATTGGGACTTATGTACCGATTATCACTAGATCATGTTTATGAAATTGAATGAGAAGCTTCGAATCAGCTACTGATCTTCAAATCTCGGTTGATATAAATGGCTAAGAACTAGTACTAAGGTTCAATTTTCTAATTTGGAAACTTTGTTGAAAATTAAAACACTATAATCGTGGTCTAACAATGATTTCAATGTGCTAAAATAATAATCTCCATAACTCTAATTGAAAATAATCGTAAAATGTGCTCACTAGTGACTAGCTTCGTGAGGAAAGTCTCGGAATTCTAGTGAGAAGACGTGACCAGTGGAGTTCAACCCTATCGGGTGTAGTCAGTAACTGCCAAAGACAAATGGATGAGGTCGCGCAAAATCTGTAGATTGATCAGAGTTAGACAATAACACCGTTGGACGCCGCCCCAGTGGTCCAGAGGTTAGGCGTTCGGCCACAAGACCGAAGGTCTCGGGTTCGAGTCCTCCGAGGTGCAGGACTCGTGGTTGCATACTGCTGATGAGTCTCATCCCAGGACGAGACGGTGCTTACAGGTTTCTAATGGTGGTCTAACAATGACTGATTGATGATTTCAATGTGTAAAAACACCAATCTCCATAACTAAAATTGAAAAATAATATTTACGGTAAAAATATATAAAATACGATTAAATATGATAAACAATATTCTCTATCAAAATACATATCATTTATTATAAATAAGTTCGATTAGTAATTTTGAGTGAACACAGATAATTAACTAATCCTAGAAGTAGAATTTAGTATTTGAAGATGCTACCAAACTTCTGTTTTTATCAACATATAATGGGAATCAAGATGTTTGATTTTAATGAGAATCCACAATACAGTTACTAACTTATTAACATTTTTATAATTGACTTATGACTTATCTGATAAATAGATTTGGAACATTTTTATAGTAAAGAGAGAAAAACTCCGTGAATTTGATCAAGTTAGACATTAACACCGTTGGATACCTGCTCAGTGGTCTAACGGTTAGGGCGTTTGTGCGCAATACCGAAGGTCCTGGGTTCGAATCCTGCGGGGCGCAGGAGTCGTGGATGAGCACTGCTGAGGAGTCCCATACCAGGACGAAACGGCTGTCCAATGCTTCCAGGTTTCTAATAGTGGTCTAACATTGATCGATTCATGGGTTCAAAAATGTGTAACTTAGCAATCTTCACAACCCCGTAATAAATGTCAGTAATTTCAATTAAGATTAATTGATTAGAACTGATGGATGCGTTTAAAATTTAATAGGATTATACATAACATAGTATTGATTGATTCCAGGTTAACACTAAACGTCTGTTCACTCTAATTTGATTTCTACCATAAAACACATCAAAACCTTAGTTGAAATCTTTCTACCATAAACTGCACAGATTTTATTACATAGAATTCAGGTAATACACAGTTTAACTACGCAGCATATTAAATGTATTGCATGTAATCTTGTTGTTTTTGTTACGTTAATAGCTGACAAACTTACGTGAAGTAGACAGAAAACTATCACTATTACCATCTAATAATACCGTAAAAACATTATGTAATCAACAAGAAACTAGTAATAATATTGCTTCAATTAATTCAGCTGATAGTAATGAATGTATTCCAAATACAAATCAAGAACAATTATGGGATACATTTGTTATTCAAAAAGAATATTTACCTTGCAAATTTAATTCTGCCGATATGATATTTCAACAAATACACATTAATAACCTTGAACAACCAGAAAATATGGAGGAATTATTAAGTCAATATCGTGAACAATTACGTCAATTAAATGATTGTATTGATAAAGTTGGACCGAATTGTTATTACAGTTCCAATCCATCTCATATTTTAAATCATTCTACACAGTCTGTAGATAAAATTCGAAACTCTCCAAATAAAATTTCCAATAATCATAATAACAACAATAATCATATAAAAAATAAAAGATTTGATAGAAATTTATCCAGACAAATTATTGATGAGAAGTTGTATCGTAAAACAAAACAAAAAGTATTCAATTCGAAATCTGCTAATTCAGCTCCAATACCTGTGAATTATATGTTGAATAAGGCTCAATGTGCACATCGAAATTCAGATAACGAATTGAATAATCATTCATTAAATAAAAATAACAACCATAATGATGATGATGAAGTTGATGATAATTATACCATTGAATGTGATATTAGTCGAACATTAGTCCCTATTCGTTCTACATCTATTACTGTTGATCTTTCAAGTACAAGTGATAGTGATTATGATTATGACGATGATGATGAGGATGATGATCGAATCACAGAATGCACCACTGAGGATACAAGTGAATATACAAAGAAAATAGCTACAAAGAACAACAGACCAAGAAAAATTTCCATAGGACAGAATCATTTGTCTGAATCGCCAAGTTTGGATCAGTTAGCTGAAAAGTGAGTCAATAAATTATTCGAGTTCAGATTTTCAGTCCAATTCTGAAACAAACTAATGTAAAATACTTTTAACGATAGATATAGAATGTTTTAGGTTGGGTTTCCATGCTATTAAACTTAACCACCAATTAAAGTATTCTTTACCAGTGAAATCCATGTTTCAGTCAAGATTTTAATTCATATCCATTAGAGTTATAGGAAAAAAAGTAGGACTGTTTCGTTTACTGTTGCTAATCCTACTATTGTGGATATACGATACACTAATGTATTTAAAATGGTGAAGATAGTCACTTGGAAGTAATCATATATGTCTGTTTTCGTTTGTAGTGCATGTGAACAAATAAAACTATAAGAATATTCAACGTTCAAATGTTTTTGTGCTATTAGAAACGAGAAACTTCAGTCTGATCAATTGATTTCCCAGTTTTTTCAGTTACCATGGCAACCATATCATTATAACCCTATTTGCCAGCTTATCGATACTCTATTTTATCTGTGTTTGATTCTTAACATCCTGTTCGAGAATTCAAACACTGCATGTAACTTAATGGTTAATATACATTACCGTAACAATATTCTTCAAATCATGTATGACTATAAATATCAGTTATTTATTCAGTAAGATCATTATTATAGCTTTACGATTATCACTTATTGGAATCAAACGATCTTTAAAGTTCTTGAATATTAACTTTACTTGTGTAACATCACGAATAGCCTTAAATTTTAATATACGATAACTGGTCTCATTTGTTACAACATCATTAACGCTTTCATAACTTACTTCTTAAATATTCCCAGCTGATGAGAGTTAAATCTAGTTTTAAAAAAAAGACTACTTCTTGTTCTGTAGAAACAATTTGCAATTGAATATTGTAATGTCAACATTTAATGCTTTCAGTATAAGGTTGTGGAAATAGTTGAGTTTCATTGAAATCACGAACCGATCAATGTTAGACCACTACTGAAATCCTGGAATAACTGAACGGCCATCTCGTTCTAGTATGGGACTCTTAAGCAGTGCACCCAAAAGCTACCAAAGATGAACAAGAGATAATTATCTAGCTTGAAATCAATCTAAATTCTTTTAATACTGAATTAAGTAGGAAATTTATATCTCAAGAAGAACTCAGCGACGTCATTATGGAAGATATTGATCTAAGTAAACCACCAAGCTGAGTCAGGTTAAATGCTTACCGGTATCATTCTTCGATAATTGTACCAAGTATTGAATCAACTAAAAGTTGACAATCGGATTTCACAAATCAATAGCGTGTACATTTAAAACCTAAAGGTAATGAATGAATTCATGTACTCCATTAGGTATATCCTGTAGTGGATTTCAAACGTAAAACAAATCAGTTGTATAACTCCACGTAATCATCTGTCCAATTATAAGAAATATCCATATACAGTAAAAATCATCTACCGAAATCGTTTATTTTGTCTACAGTCAACCGTTTTTAAATTATAGGGTTATGGAGATTGTTGGGTTTTATTGAACTAGTGAGTCGATCAATGCTAGACCACCATTAGAAACATGAAGGCATTGGACAACCGTTTCGTCCTAGTATGGGATCCATCAGTAGTGAGCATCCACGACCCTCACACACGGGAATCAAACCCAGGACCTTCGGTCTCGCGCGCCAACCCCTAACATCTAAATCACTGAGCCGGGACCCAACGGTATATATGTGCGGTCATGGATGCGCACTACTGATGGGTCCTATTCTAAGATAAAATGCCGTCCAGTGCATCCAGGTTTCTAATGGTGGTCTAACATTGACTTATTCGTGAGTTCAACCTTTTTAAATTATCAATAAAATCATAAACTGGTCACCTGATTTTAGCTTTTACTAATTCTATTTTTTTAAGCAAATCAGAACTTTTTTCTCAAGTTATTTAGCATTAAAACGTGGGATGAAATATACTTTAAAATGTCACACAATCTAATTGATTTTCAATAAAATCATAATCTGAACTAATAGTAACGTAACAATAAAATTCATAGATATATTATTCTTGTACTATTTGTTGTTTAAATTAATTAATTAATTATTTCTGCGTCTTATCGTTTTTGCTAAAACAAAAATGTTTTAATAGATTGCAAGAATTGAAAAAAATGCTTCAATTAGAACGTCAAGAAATTGAAGAAGTAGTAGCGTCTAAAACAGAAGTGATCAAACAACAAGAAAAATCTATTGAACAATTAGAATCGGAACTTGATCAACTACGTAAAGAGCATAGACCACTGAAAGTAAAACCACCGAATGGTAGACACACAAGTAAATCAACTTCACGTACAGTCAGTCCAACTTCATCATTCTCATCTGAATATTATTCATCGAATTTATCTGATATAACTCAAGCTTGTCAAAGTTACAATAATCCTTTCAATCATAATGATATGCATAATAACAATAATAATAATAATAATAGTAATACTAGTAATAATAATCACTTTTGGGATTCATCAGTTTCAAATTACCACAATAATCAAGGTTTAAATAATCTTAATCGTGGTGAACTAATCAATGCAGAGAATTATCGTACTCAAAGTTTTCGAGAGAAATTATTATGGAGAGGACAAGTAGGTCGATGTGAACCACAAGTTATATGTGATTCCAACCTACTTTATTTATCAAAAGCTAGTGAAGGCACAGGAATTCCATTAGGACATTTAATTGAAGCAAATCGTTCAGTGCATATTGGACGTCGTGTCTCAGAAACAAAACTCTCACCGCATTAACATCATATTCCAGTGGTAATATTTTATTATCCAAAATGTTTTAATTTTAAAAATCGACTCTTCTGAAAAAAAAGGTATTATTAATTATCTTTTCTTAGTGCAATCATAACTTCTCATTAACTTAAACTGTTGATGATTTCATTTCGTCCTTGAGATATACAACATATAAACTGAACCTATATTGATTGAATTAAATACAAGAATTGAATTATTCATAGATAAACATATTCATTGCATACTAGATTATGTATGTATCATTAGCAACTCTGTGAATAACTCGTGTATACACAAAATCCCAGTGATTCAAGTCAAAAACGATAACCAACGAAAATTCAAATAATTCGCATTTTTTTTGTCAACTAGTTTTCTTTTTTCCTCTCTCTTTTTAATCTTTCTGAATGGTAAAACAACTGAAAAAAAAAATAAAATAAAATCAATACAGATTAGAAAAAAAAAGTTGAAATGCACAAAAGATCTTTTGTGTTTTCGCACTGTGTTCTTTTTGAAATTCTTTTTTGAAATTTTTATTTTGTATCAACTTTTAATTCGTGTCTTATTATCACTAGTAGTACCATATATATATATATATATATATATATATATATATATATATACTCTTTATTCAACATTTTATAATACTTTGTACCAGTATTTAACACTAGTGATTTTTCAAAGAAAACTACTGATTGTGTTTAATCGATAAAAACCAGTCCACACTCAATGTACAGACATACATAGTTAGATATATCTATGCTGACATAACTATATATGCATATATTATATTATACATTAATAGAAATATATATATATATATATATATCAGGTTATTATTACTAATGTGTCATTTTCATAATACATTTTAAAAAAAATAATAATAAGATTTTTGACAATTATATATTATTCAAATGATTTTGACTTTTCTTTTCTCTTAGATTTTATGTGAATAAAATTTAATATTCAATAAGTGGGAATATTATCACAATTAATTTAATTATCATTCAATATATTGAATATATATAGATTTACTGAAATGACAATCAAAACTAAAATGAGAATTATTGTTTCACTGTCTCAACTTAGTAATAATTTATTATTACGGTGAATTGGACATTGAAACAGGCTAACGAACGATTAAGATGAATGAGATATATAAAAATGAACATCGTTTTTTTTCTTCAATCATATAACCTCAAAAATGGAATTATATACATGATCATTTACAATGGTATCATGTTGGCTATGTTTGTCCATTTCACTGGATTCATATAGATGCTGAAAACGTCGAGTAGATTTTGTACTATATAATCAGAAAAACTTTTACAGTCATTATAGATGAACTGACAAACAATAGCATTACTATCATCTCTTAGAAGTTTTCTATTCCTATGAATCATAAAAAAGAATGAAGTAAAGTCTCGATTGTGGCTACTGAAGTAACATTTTAGGGAGAAATATGATTGATTTACTCTTAGTAACATCCAACTAGTAATGACAAGAGAATATTTTACTGAACAAATGCTACACCCAACAAAAGTTGTGGGATTGCTGTTGAATATCAGATCCAAATAATCAATAAATGGATTGTTAAACTCAACGATCATTATTACTGCATCAGTTCACAATATCAATAGTGATCACTTCCGATTAGTTTTAAAGCGAAAATTCAAACATGACTATAACAGTAGACTATGAGCATCAATAAATGTAAAATTTGTTCGTCCGGAAAAATTGTAGCTTAATAACCCGTAGTTGGAGGACAAACTAATCTCCTTAGTTTGACAGCTTACAGAATAACATATATATACTACAGTATGAAGCGGTTTATTCGATAAGTACCAATTGTAACCGTTATAAATATCAAATGACTATTGATAAAGAAACGTATATCTAATTTATTATACAGCTGATTCAATTTACTAAAAAGTAAAGATTGTACACATATTTTCTTGACTAGATTCCATTTATTTTTATTGATTGGACAATAACAAGGCACCCTACATTAAATGTGTAAACCTATTTAAATGAATTTACACATAATAAATTCTGATACTTACTAAACTCAATCAACATTAACTAGTACGTGGTGAAATTGTTTTTATAAAGAAAAATGTGAAAATAATTTGATTCTCAGTCTGATTTCATACACGAATCATCACAGTGGTCGTATATATAATGTCAAGTAGATAAAGTGAACAATCTTATTTGATATTATCACTAGTGGAAGCACCATTCCATTGACATTTTGAAAGTAAAGTAACTGGCTAGTTCAAGTCGATACTGAGTTAACATGCTAGAAAATTGCACCAACTTATAAGGGAACAATAGTTCCCATTTATACCAATTTGAATAATGGATATTCAAATGTAAATCAAGTGTCTTCATGGTGAAAATAGAAAAATCAAGTGAGTAGAAGAAGGGATTTTCTTTGTTACTTTGACAAAGACTCAACTTAAAATGAGATCTCCAATTGCACACCAAGCAGAATACCTTAAACTATGTACTATAGGATAACAAACAATATATTGTAAGGAAAACAAACTTCATCTTCCGTAACTATTGCTTTTCAGAATATTTGTACATATTTATCAACGATATTATACTTACTCATAGCTGGACACAAACAAATAACCAGTTTTCTACATTGATTTTCTGAGGATAAAGTCGGACAGTTGTATTTGTCAAACAGGAAACACAGTAACGATAGCTACTCAGTTCATAATTTATCAAGTACCAGAAGGTGATGGGTTATTATTAGTAGTTAAGATATTCTACAAACGAATGCGGTACGATTGACTTTCTGCAAATTCATAAAGCCACAAATACTGTACCATGTACAACAAAAGCATAAACTTGATTACGGAATACGAAATCCACTAGTCATTATTCATAACTCTGGTTACCAGCGATTATAGTGTGTCGAACAACACTTTGTAAGAACACAATACGTATCAAAGAGTACTTAAATTTATGACAGAAAACACTTTATGTAAGTGGATAATCGTAATAATGGACAATTACTTATTTTTAAAGGCATTCCTAAAAACTAGGATGTGAAAGCTAATATTATTAGTATCAATAAAATGATTTGATCGATCATACTTCGAGGATGCTAAAATACTGATTTCATATTTATGTATGTGTCGGTTTCTAATACTATCTTACCATACAGACATATGTGTGAAGTGCTACAAAGTAGGCCAAATCGATTATCACTGGCTTAAAAACATAAATATTCGCTGTTTATTTGTAATCCTAAGGGTCATAGATATTATACTGGACGAAAACAGTCACGCTTTTAAGGTACATAAAATGACAAAATTTCTAATAACTCGCAGATGTAATACTGTCTCGTGTTAAATCATTGACGTTATTTTCCGAATCATTTGATTAATCAAATGAAAACCGTGATCAAGTATTCAGTCGAAATCACAGGACAGATTATGTCTCGAATAAAGTGTTCAGAGGCCAAGTGAAATACTTGAGTTATCAACAATCATACACTACCTAAATGCTAAGTCATGGAATTTTCAAGATTTGTCCTAACTTATGCAGATAAATTTATCCTAGTTACTTCTTTGTTACATTCTTGTACTGATTTCAGTCTTGCTAATCTAGTCAGTCAGTCAGTTGCAACGTAGAACTTCGTACGTAAGTACATCAGTTCATGTCGCAATACCACATCAGCACAGAGATATAATTGTCAATTCAAATCCAATAGTAGAAGAGGTAGTAAAGGAGGAATCGGAGTGGTTAGGATTAGAAGATATTATTCAAGAAGTATGATTAAATGAGAAAAGTTTAGAAAGTCAAAACTAGAGGTGTTGAAGAATCCAGAAGATTAGGATTTGAGAGAACACAAAGAATAAATGCACCGGCACCATTGCGAACGATTTTGAGCCATGTCATTCAAGGTCTCTAACCATCGATTATTATCATCTCGCGGACCCCAACCAAGTAGTCGACAATTACCAACATGGCTAAGTCCACTCGTCAATGACTTCATGGATTTCTGCCATGTTTTGGTTCGGCCGCCCTTAACTTTCTTCCAACCTATTCCTACACGACAAAACAAAGCTCGACGAGGAAGTCGGTGGTTGGGCTAATCTAACGTGGTTGCCTATCAGCATAACTTAATTAAGCTTTATTGTCTGGACTACAAGCTGTAGAAACAGTAGAGAAAACTACCAGTAACGTAAACTAATAGGTTAAGAAGAATCAGTGGATTTGAATGGCATCTACTGAAATGACAGATGATCAGAAACACATCCCGTCTGGCTCTAAACACAATGAGAAGTACAGGCACCCTGAACATACTCTGATGGAGTGCCTGCGCAATGATGGTGAGCAGCGGTGGTTATCGAAAGTAAAAGAGATGGAAAAGGAAGCGGGGATGTGTAACAATAGGCAACTGTTCAACCTTGTCAAGGAGATTAGTATTAGAAATCGAACTGTTATTGAGACTCTCAGAGGACTGGATAGATGGGTGAAACATTTTAAGGGACATTCCTACTATCCTCCAGCACCTCAGCTAGTAGCGGAAGTCCTTTAACTCTTAATGACGTTACAATGCCTATAGGCAATCTGAAGAGAGGGGAAACGGCAGGACCTGATTTATTAAACCCCCCAGATTTTTGAGAATGGAGGTCAAGTTTGATTAACTGTGATCTTAGTTGGAATCTGCAAAATAAGCGTAGTCCCATCGGACTGATCTCGACTGCTAATTGTCCCAGTCTACAAGAAAGGAAAAAACTCCTCTTGAGACAATCACAGAGGGGTCAGTTTGACTAACATGTTATTTTACCACAGGGAGGTGATATTGTCAGACCAAGTCCCAGAGTTGTCAAAGTAGTAACAGTATTAACAGTAATGGAAAATATTAGGGGTCGGAAATAAAATTCGGGAAGATATGTTACATGTGCCCAAACCACCCACTACTTCAACCCGGTATAAAGGTAGGCACAGCCAAACTAAAACATTGTGTCAGACCATGAAGTCATTGATAACTGAACTGAGCCGTGTTAATAAGTGAAGGCTACCTAGTTAGGTCCCCTCAGCTAATTTTCACCACTTATTGAAGACTTTGAATCACGTGGCTCAAAACCGTTTACAATGGTGGAGATGCACCCTTGCCTCGTCTTTCCCGAAATTCAAGCTTTCGAGTTCCCCATAACTTTTTATGTTCCACTGGTTCACATTTCCTTGAGTACAATCTTAGATCCATAATGTTTTATATTATTACTGATACATTTATTACCTCTACCACTACTTCCATATGACAATATCACCTCTATATGCTAAAGGGGTATGGCAAGTTGAACTGATGTACGTACGAACCAAGTTCTACGATGAAACTGAATCGTGATTTTATTTAATTAAGCACAGAGTTGGTGCAATTTCTGAAGGGATACATTGAAATTTAAAGTTGTTAAATATTATGAAGAAAAAAATTTGTTTGATTTAGTTATATTTTTCTTCATATGTAATCAAAAATATCTGATTAAACGTCAAAGAAAACTATCCAATGGTTGAACACTCAGAAGAGAAACCCCAAATACCATCTGACTGGATAAACTTCTCATTAATCTTCATATCGTCACACCAAACAAGAATAAGTATAAAATGTAAGCAATCAACTCTATAATATTTGACTTTAAATTTTTGTATTTCGAGAATACTCTATACAAACAATCGAGGTCTTGTAGATTTTGGGACTGGAAGATGATAGAAAAGAATCAAGTGGATTTTAGAATTTCCTCTGAATTGAATTAGATTTACTTGTGGGAAATGAATGATAGTAGCTGAACAAAACTAGAAAATAAACAATACTCGTTACATATGCCGATAAAGTGTGAAACATGTTCATTAATTTGAGTACAATCAACATACGATAGTGATCTCTCTTTTCAAGCGTATCCTAATGTTGCTCCAACGCCTTGTGGATCAGACCTTAAGAAGTGAAGCCCTAAGAAAGTTACCTGTTTCGGTTTGAGAGCCCGGACAGCATCCTAACCCACTTACAAATTCAATAATTTAAGTGGCATACAAATATTTAGGTACCCCACCTTGTACCAATAGATGTATTTAAACAAATCAATAACAGAAAATTCCCAGGTAAAGTTATCTCAAATTAAAATCAACGTTGAAGAATATAAATAGTTAAACTTTGTCAAGTACATTTATTTTTTCTCTGGAATCGATTCACCACATAATTTTTTATTACATAAAACAAAACAACAGTATAAAAAAGTAATTAATATTTGATTGTGAAAACCATAAATAAAAGTGAGCAGCAACATACATTAAATACAACTAATGATTGGCAGCACGTAAACAACAGTAGTATACAGAATTTAAAATTACATAAAGTAGTACAAAGCGATTATCATAATTACATGTACATGTACATAGTGAAAACAAAAACTATAAATCAAGTGACATTAAAAGTGAAAAACAAAATCATATATTTTAATTTTTATCCATAGAAAACAGAGACCATCATAGTAATACTGGTACATTTATGAAAGCATTTAATTGTTCAAATATTTTTTGCTAGCATTTTGAAAAGTACTCCATTTTTATTTCACTTTCCCTCACTACATTGAATAATATTGTACAGAATTACAGTAAGATCTAATTAAAATGTACAAAATAACTAGTAGCTGGATTATCAAAATAACAGAAGTATTAGAAATTTGTGATAGTCAAAATAATCAAGATATTCATTGTAGGCGAGAGATGGAAGATATATATATATATATAACTTTGCTTATTTTCTCTTGCCTACATGAAAAAAAAAATCCAAGCTTATGTTGTTAGTTTAAGAATGCACAAATTAATAGCTGTTTCAATATCATACACCACAGGAATATTAAACTCTTGAGCTAAATCAATTAAATACATACGTACACGATTATAATCTTTAAGAGCCTGTTGTGAAAGTAATATTGTAGAAATATTATCATATAATTGTGAATTGTTAAGTTTATTATTATTAATATTATTATCAATGATACAATTAAAATTATCAGTAGAATATTTATTAGAATTATGTGAATCAATTACAATGCCATATTCCAAAGAATTAGATCGAATTGATAGTTGTTCATCGGAAGTAGAAGAATTTGTTCCAGTGAAATCGCTTAGAATACCACTGCTATCAATACTACTTTTAATGTTGTTAATCTAAAATATAAAATTTTAATGATAAAAAAATGAACTTACAGAAAATTGTCTCAATTTAGAATCATCATCAATGTATTCCTGAAGTGAATTAGGTTCACATTTCTCTTGAGAGATATCACAACTGTTAATATGTGTTTCATTAGGAGAATTAAACATTTGTATGAAAAGTACTACGGGTAAATGACATCCTATAGAATAGGCTGCCTGAAATAAAGCAAATAATAAAATATTAATCGAAATATATAATAAGAATAACAGAAGTAATTCTTAAAATGCAATAACCAAGTAGAAATTTGAGTCACAGTTATTATGTGAGATTTAAAATTATTAATCGACTGGAACGAATTAAACTTGATAAAGTAAGAACTGAATTTCAAGACAGAAGTGAACACATGTACGTAGCATACATTGCTCATACAATCCGATACGAAACTAACCACTTACGCACTATCATCATCATCGTTCTTCATATAATTACTAATCTGAAAATCACAGAAGCATTATCAGGGTATTTATCAGATGGAGTAACACGTACTAAAAGAGGATACACAAATGATGAAAGTGAATTATTCTCAACGTTAAACAGTCTAAAAGTATTCAGATTACAAGCCTACTACAACCACCTTTATTTACTGATCTCTAGATGATTCTGGTATCCGGGTTAAACTGTTTAACCCGGATAAGTATGTAACAAATTTATCATCCGTTGAAGATTCTGGTATCACTTGAATTTATTTCCTTAAAATGTGCTCAGATAACTAGGTGACATCAAACTTCCCCTATGATACATAATTTAATCGAAGTATCATTAAGTGTAAACAGGTTTAAAGAGCAGACTGATAAATGAGACGTGGCTTCCTAAACAACCGAAGGTGGGTCACAGATTTAACCTCATGATCCAGTGATTAAAATTTAAATTTCGTGATTTCCATGGCACAGATCAACTTTGATTATATAATTCGAAAGCTTAATAAAGCTTCGGGATAACTACTAAGTGCATTTTCAGTGTACACTTGATAATCATTATTATTCAAGTGACGAGTTTAAAGATTACATAAATTAATCATAACAGTACAGTTTATTTTATGACAGGGTGAGTCAAACAAATATACCGTAAACATGCACTAGCTCTACCGGTTGGGAATGTGTTATGTACTCAAAGTCATTATTTATTTTGAGGTAATGATTATGACTGTAGTAAAGTGAAATTAAAAAAAGAAGATAGTGTCAAGCAGACCAGTAAATTGAACAACCAGATGAGGGTCACTGGTTGTTAATCTGAGCCATCTACGTAGATGTAGATTATTTAAATGATGTTCTGGAAATGATAGAAATTGATTTTAGTAGACCTATGGTGTTAAAGCTGCTAGTTGGTAACAATGATGCAATACATTCACGTTTATTCTTTCCTAAATGTCAAACAGCTTACCAATTGTATTTTTTCCATTGTCATTTACATCATTTCTACTTTAATACTTCCTTAGATTGTGAATTTCCTCTTTTTCTGTTGTTTTAAAGTATAAAGCCTAGAATCTGTAAACTATGATCCAGCATAAATATATCTGTCCCTCTATCTCTCACTATTCAGTCCCAAACTTATGGACATACACAAAAGGACACACACTAATGAGAGAGACCTTCCAAAAGGCTCATAAACATAAAAGAGAAAACAAAGTTTTCAAGAGTGGGTAATCTGTTCGACTCGCTTTCTATCCCTTTAACTCTACAATCAGTCAAAAGTGTAGCTTTCTAAACGTTTTGTAAAGAGTTTACTTTCGAATTCGGTAATAATTTGCTATTCTTGTTACCACAGTCATGTTATCGTGTATGTTTTCTTTTTAGAACAGCTATGGGATAGTCTTCTAAGAGATATGTTTAAAAAATGTTATTGTTAACACTGTCCTTTGTGCACATCAGCTAAATGAAATGAGCTTTTAATCTGTACATTATTGACCTCCACGATAATAAGAGTCAAATGAGTAGGTTTTATTTAATATTAATTAGATGGACAGGTGTAACTTAGTCGGTGGATTTGGTGCAATTACTAGTATTCATTAGTATATGATTGTAATGTATTTGTGTAAGTCAGACTATCATTTGTTTCACTTAAATCAAATGTCAGATTTACGCGACAAGTGAAAACGTTTAAACAGTATATTTAAATCAGTTAGCTTATATTACAAATCCAACTACATCGCTAAAATATCTCTAGATAAGTTTGCTGTTTGTATAAATAAGCTTGAGTTGTGTGCTTGTTGACCTCGTATTTTCTGGGTGCCTATGAATACTTTGTCTCTACGTTTTATTAAGACTTTTTCCTCTAGTTAGCGGGGCCTGAGACAATCGGATTAGAATAGCCTATCATGTCGCACTGAATCACTGATTTTACTCCGTTTACCGATTAAGGTGAACTCGTAATAGTTCAAACATATCAATTGGCGAGCATATCAGTTTTAAACCTACTCATTTGACTCTTATTATCATGGAGATCAATAATGTACAGATTAAAAGCTTATTTCATTTAGCTGATGTGCACAAAGGACAGTGTTAACGATAACATTTTTTAAACATATCTCTTAGAAGACTATCCCATAGCTGTTCTAAAAAAAACACACGATAACATTGACTGTGGTAACAAGAATAGCAAATTATTACCGAATTCGAAAACTTACAGTATTTGTTGGAAGTAAACTCTTTACAAAACGTTTAGAAAGCTACACTTTTGACTGATTGTAGAGTTAAAGGGATAGAAAGCGAATCGAACAGATTTCCCACTCTTGAAAACTTTATTTTCTCTTTCAATGCTAACTTTTATGTTTATGAGCCTTTTGGAGGACACTTTTAAACAGAAATTATGGATTTTTTAATCACTATTCATCACTTTGTCTAAAACTTTAATTAAATCGTTCTTGTGTAAAATAATTAGTTATGGCAACTAGACAAATGAAAATAATAAACAGTACCAATCATAAATAAATAATTACCATTTATTTCAGACAAAATTCTTACCTCCATTAGAGTAATTAAATGAAAAGAGGTATTATCAATTATATACAATAAAATCCGACAATTTTGACGGATTTCTATTTGTTTAATTTCTAAATCTTGACAGAATTTTGACAAATTCTTATCAACTTCAAATGATGTATGAAAATTATTCTGTACAGCTTGATAATATGATAAATTTGAATTAATTAATCTTGGTAAAATAATATTATCTAGTAAGCATTGGCTGGATTTATTTCCATTCAATATTCCAGCAATATAAACATCAAACGTTACATTTTTGGAAGGTTGAGTGTTGTTTAAACGTATATAACTATTTGATTTTGGTAGCGGTAGTGGTGAACAATGTGAGAAAGATGGCGTTTGAGCATTGGAATCAATCAATGCATTATTTGAATCGCTGAGGAGACAGGGGTTGAGCTATATCAGTAAAGAAGAAGGTTCAAAGGTTTAAAATGCTCGAAAAAATATACAAATAAGTAGTAACGTAATAGTAAAATTTGATAAGGTCAGTCATATGCAACGTGGAGCTGGTACATATGTACGTATCAGATAGAATGACTTTTGTAAAAAAAATCAGTCTTTACCTGATCATACTTATATCAACTATGCGTGTTCTTTCACTTAATCTAAGTATGTTTCGCCGTTCGTCATCATTTTGCTCTACATCTTGAAGTATCACAATTAAAATGATAAACTCTTATGGAAGATTTAATGTTGGTCAATTTGTTTCATTTGACATAAACCAGAAAATATAGGTTTATTTTCTTTGAAATGCTTGATTGAGAAGAATTTCAGTACCAAATTATTGTGTTTGCCAGTCTATCAACTCGATAAGTAGGATAACTTTATGTACACGATTCGTAATAAGTACATTTATTTTATGGAGTCTGTTAGTCAATAATAGAGTTAAGTTAAGATAACAGGAAGACTGATAGCTTAAGTAAGATATGTATAAATACCATGTAGAACCTTCTAAAGCTTCGGTTTAGCATGTAATTTAAAACAAAATTAGTTACGCAGATGTACGTAAAAATGTACTAATCAATTTGTTTCTATTTAATTAAAATTGATAATACCTGTAATTGCTTGCTGGGTGTAGATTTCATTGATCCAAAACATGATTCAGTTCCTGAAGATGAATTCCCCATTTGTTCACCCACACGGAATTCACATTTATTACAATTACTCAGTAATGTAGTGGAAAGATATTTTTCTAAGCTGACCCATAATGATGGATAATTTTGTTTTAGTATATGCTCAACATACAATGAAGATAATAAATCGAAACGACTAATTTTATCCCAATAAGTAATGAAATTTCTATCACTGATTAGATTAATATTTAATGACTTAAATCCAAGACGAACCTTTGGAGATACAATAAAACAAAAGAAGAAAATAATAAGGTAATGAAATCAACTTTCTATAAAATAAATAGCTAGCATTATAATTGTTGACCACAAGAAATATGTTTAGCCTAAAATGCGAAAGCAAGTACTAAATATATACTGCTAGTTGTTAGGGAGCCCCGGAATATCCCTCAAAAAAGTCTGTAGAGGCGAAGAAACGTTAGGTGTCGTTTTATGCAATCAGCATTGAATAGAACCCATACAGAAATATTTGGAAAATGTGAAGCCATACTCCAGGATCCTGAATAAACATTTAGCGTTACAGCTACTACATTTAATATGGTTCTCGAACCTCCTAAAAGCTCAAGGGCATCGGTAACCCCGCAAATACCTTCATTTTTCCGTATATAAACTAACCTTGAAGTAAAGCGCTCTTCTCGTACTTCGCACCTTTTCTTTTGTAGTCAAGTTGAAGTGTAGATTTAATAAGAAGTTATTAACAGCGGATAGCAATCAGATCTTGCATTCATTTAACAGACTTATCACTAGTCATAACTCATATGACAATGAAGACAAATTCAGCAACCAAAGGTTATACATTATAACAACTGTTAACAGTCCTACAAAAATATAATATCATGTCTAATAAGATAATAATCCGTTGATTTAGGAATTATATTTTTTCTTTTCTTTCAACATACTCCAGTCAGAATTACGTATCGAAGTTAGTAGGCAGTGCTTAAGTATAGGTACAGACATATCCCAGCCATTTCAGTTGATGGATATTAGTAGTTTCATAGGCTGATTTGCCATATAAGCGAAAGTGCCCTGTATCTAACCTTAACATTGCTGTTCCCGTTGTTAGCTCAAATGCATCAACGCTTTGAATTCACTTTCGGTTAAATACTTGAGGCTTGCGTATTTCTCTTACTTTCATAGACCTAGTTGATTAGCTACAGACTAATATAGAACTAGTTTGCAGCATACTTTCACATTCATTGGCAGACAAACATTATATCTAAGAACTGACGAAAGTTGCCAAAACTCAACCAAACTTTCTGAATCAGAGCCTGAATTTCATCAGCCATAAACCCACCAGGATCGATGAAACTTCTAATGTGAGTGACGTGGTTAACGTGTTCAATTACTTAACTTCCTCCGACCGGTTGATAGATAATTTTTGGCAAAGATATCAATCATCCAGCCAACATAAAACAGATCATTTTAATTGCAAAAATGGGATGTGTTTGCTGGTTCAGTTATGATTAAAGGAGGATAGCGGAAATAACTTTATAAGACGAGTAAACGGAAAGAAAAACATGCCAATAATGCTGGGGAAATTTTTCAAAATAGTATTTCTGATATTTTCATAACATTAACACAGTTTAGTAAAAGACGTTCCGTAAGAATAATCAGTTAAAAAAAATTCAATGTGAAAAGCTGATAGAATAACCAATGATAAAAACATCTGACAGCTAAACTTACTTGGTCATATACAGTCTGACTATCAGCTGACTTAGGAGTCCGTCGGATTATTTCATGGAATACATTAGATACAAATCTAAAATAAAAACGATGGTTAAAAGGAAACGTTGGTGATTTAGCATCCTCAACATCTACTCTACTTTGTCACAAGTTTACTTTCAACTTTAATATCGTCGTACATGAAAGTTAGTCAGATAAACTATAATATCCAAACTCATCATATTGGTAGCAAAAATTTCTGTTCACAGTATTCTTTTAGTACGACATGTCTATTGTATGTCTATAAGAAATTTCGTTCAGTTTCAGTGAACCAAGTGCATGGATAACATTTAAAATGTAAATTATGTCTCGACAAAAATCTAACGTATTGAAATTATATAATTGCGAAATCGTTCGTAATCCATTACATACATTAATGAGTTTAATATTTGACTATAGACTAGAATGATCAATTCGATCTTGAATATAAAGGCCAAATGTAGTCAACTAATTATCGAATAAAAATTACAAGCACGTAAATACATTTTGCATACTATAAATTTCCCATAAAATAATTCACATTCACACAATAAACAAAATTCAATATCTCAACATGATCGGACAATTTTTTTAATAAATAGTTGTTTTGTGATATTATTCGATTTTTGATTATTTCTTTAAAGATTGGAGCAGAGTGCTGAGTGTAACGGAGTCAATTTCAATCACTGAGATTTTTAAAAATATGTGTTATCTGTGTCTATAGACACAGTTTTTTTTATGGAATGTAAAACAAAACAAACTTACGATATTTTATTCACTAATTCCTTGTCCTTATTTGTTATAGTTTCCGATAGTTTAAATCTCTTGAAGAAAAACGCAAAAAGCAAAATAGACATAAAACTACAAACAAATATTTTTAAAATTTATTTTTCTTTCGAGAACAATACAGTACGATTCCAGTAATATTTCCAGACATATATAGACTCTTCGTTATACTGTACTAATCAAGTATAAGTATCAATAACTTACTGAAGACTGTAACAAACAAACTATATGTTTTTACTATAAAACCTTAAAAAACAGGACAAATCTTAAAACTACAGAAAATCCCGCATGTTACCCAAGATTACTCTTTTTATTCCTTGGCAACACATCAGCTGGAATTAGTACACTAGGATGTATGTGGTCGACTTAAGTGGTTCAGATAGTTAACATCCTTTTAGTTTCCACAAGTTGTGTGCAGAGATAGTAATATCAACCTATATAAACGATGTGTTATATATATACATATATATATATTACAGATCTTCAGCAAAGGAAACCATTTCTTGACCAATGATATGCATCCGTCCCTTAGCATATCTCAATGGTCATCAAGCAGCCTACGAATTCAGCCACTTCTGCCTTCTCACAATGAAGGAAGGGTTAGAAAAGGTCGACCCTAAAAATGTCACACCTCACCTACCCCACGGATTTACGTCTCCGGCGGTAAGGGTGCCCACTAAGGGCTTTTAAGAGCGGAGCTAGCAGTCGAAAAACATTTAATAAAAAGGCCGTGCGTGACCGGCCTCAAGCAGTTGTCCCTTGGACTCTGCGGTCACGCTCCCAGGTCGTTAAGACCAACACTAATCTACTTTCCTTTTCAGGTTCCTCGAGAAACACCCTTCCACGGTGTGGGCAGCCGGGAAGTGACAACCGCCCTCATACCCATAAAAGCGCACTAAACCAAATTGGTCATAATCAAATCCTTTCTACACCTCTTAATAACTCGCTTATCTCAACGACCAACCTTTCTTTCGATCGTTTATCACCTCATGCCACTGAAGCAAACGGTATGAGCTCACAAAACGTTATTCCTGGTCTCTTGAAACGCCTACTAAATTACATATAGCAGCTTTCAATTTTCGGACCCTATGCCAAATAGAGCAACAGGTTTCATTAGATAGAACTCTGGAATCCCGATCGATCCGTAGTGAGTCATTCAATGTCTAGCTCACATGAGTTGTCCCACTTGTCTTTTGACCTTGTCACTTATTCGTCGCTTGTATTCATGTGTGTGAATGCCTACTCGCTTACTACATGTCTGTCTTATTTTTGTCTGACTATAAATTCTTAGTCATGCTTTACCTCTCGGAGATGGCTCACTAGCCTTCTCCACTTCGCTTCATCCATTCATTCGTCCATTCGCACATTCGCCCGCTAGTGTGTCTGCCCTGTCTGCTTATGGTCCGCTGTCCCATTTTGTGGTGTGCTAAAATAAACGAAATCGACACTTCGTATTTACCTTCTGATTTATAACCGTCAGGCATTATTTGGTGCTGACCGCCTAGACGAGCGGATTATGAAGCTTAGGAACACGTTGTAATTGGCCACTACTAATTGGTCGAATCCAATGCACTCAATACATAATTTGGCGATACCGACGAAAGATCGAACACTAGCAACTAATTGGTAATTTTGACGTAGAATCGAACTCAATCACCAATTGGTAATCCCGAAGACGAATCGAACGCGACCACAATATTACTGACACTTACCATTTCGATACGAATTACTACAGTGGATTATAATTACCATCGCAGATTATTATAATTGTCATCATATTTTCATTACATGTTAATGTTTCCATAAACATTATTTGACATATTTTTACAATATTAACAATCACGATTAACGCCATTATACATACAACTGTTAATTGCTAATGGAATTGCATTACGAATATTGTATCCAATCGCAACTCACGGAATGATTTTACTATTTTCGATAACGCAAACGGCTTTCCCGCTTAAAGTGAGTTTGTTCCATTTTCTTGCCGTATCTCATTATTATGCTTCGAATTGCTTATCAAAGCAATGGCTCAATGACAATTACTACTTACTTACTTACGCCTGTTACCCTCAATGGAGCATAGGCCACAATGACAATTATTATCCATTATCATTTCCGTGCCTATAAGATTATTGTATGGGAGATATCTTCGATGCACTCATCAGCTGCTCGTACCTCGAAAATCTTGCAGCCTGCTAAGTAAATTGGTGGTATGATCTTACGCACATGCACACGAAGCAGCAGTCGGGCGGAACTCCTGCACGCGTTGCTAACCGTTGCCAGCGTTGGGGTAGTCGAAAACATGCGAATACCAGCTCGGTGGGGTCATCACGACAGACAAGCCCGACCACCAAGTCAAGATAGCAGCTATGGTCGGGTATGAGTATAATTTGAAATGAACAAGTGAAAAAGGGGATTAAAAATTACCAACTAAAATTAGAACCCAACAGTCAGGAAAAAATGATGATTAAATGAACATAGTATTTTAATGAATACTAGTCCTTTGCAATCCGGGCTAATGAACAGTTAACACAAAAGTGCAGTGTACACTATCTGTTTATTAGCATTCTATTCATTCATTTTAACAATCTAAAACCTCTTCAGTTGAGCTCACATTACATGCAACAGATCAGTCGGAGACGTTAAGTAACAGAAAACGTAAAAGAACCACTGACGCTCTTAGTTACTGGATAAAAACAATTTGAATGTTCGTACAGTTTTAGATGGAATCATGTAACTAGTGTTTATCCTAAAGAGGAAAGATGGAGTGAATTTAAAAATTCACTTACCTGCCGGTAAAAAGACTGGGGAATACTTGAAGCGAGTGTAAAGGATCACTATCTTATTTATGTTGCGACAGAGGAAACTCATATCAATTCGTACAGGTGATATGATAGTCAACAATTAGACCTGAAGTTCAAGTCATAAATCGTTAGGATTAAATAACTTGCGAAACCGATATCCTCTACTTGATTACGTCATCCAATCTTTTTTATTTTACTGTAGGTAATTTCTATATAAGCATATTGGTTTATTAGGTATAAAAACCTATTATATGGACTAGTGGTCTTATCAGTTTAATATCACCAAAATGTCGCATTAGCATAGTAATCGAGAAAAATGATAAAGAAACTTACTAAATGACTATTATGTATAGCATAATTTACAGCAGTTTTAACTTCTGAAAAGCACGGTATCTTGAGACGTTTAATCATTTGGAGAAAACAATTCATAGCCTCTTCTAGAAACTGATATTCCCTAAAAGAATTAGGATTTAGAAAATATAGAATATAAGTACATAACTGAGCTAGAGAAGAGAAAGAATCTGGCCTCAGCCTCCTAAGAACCGTTTTTAAATTTTTATAAACCTGTAAAAAATTTTGAAATGCAACAAAACATTGACAGACAGGCAGATCAGTAAAAGCAATATCATTGACTTCGTAAGGTTATTTTATCTCTACATAAAAGACCTTCATAAGATTATAAAACATCAAAATTTTATATTGTAATCAAAAATATATCACAAAGTCTCTAGTTTTCAATCTATTTGAAAACATTACGTCGCCATTTGAACTCTTAAAATAAAGCCTGAAAATAAATTAGAATAGCAGCTATAGTTGAATTTTGCAGATAAACTTTCCAAGAACAGTCTCTGTTTAGAGACCGTACAACTGCAACATGATATGCTTCAAAATTTAAAGAGGATTTTATAGTTAACGATTTGAAGGGCTTAGATTAGCCTTGATCAGTTTAGCAACAACGCAGAACTTGGTATGTACTTACAGCCGTTCAAATCTCAATAGCACAGGACTGAGAGATAGAATTTTCAGTTCGAATTCCGTAGAAGTAAAGGTAGTAGAAGTATTAGTGGTGATCGAAGATATGATTCGAAAAGTAATATCGCAATGGAATGTATTTAAAAGTAGCAAAAAGGTCGTAAGGAATTTAGAAGATTAGAATTTGAGAGAACATCAAGAATGGATGCACCTTCGCCGTTGCAAACGATCCTGAACCATATCATTCTAGGTCATCAATCACTAGTTACAATACTCAAACGCAACCCAATCAGGTAGACAACACCTACAAACATGGCTCAGTCCACTTGCCAGTAACTTCATGGACTTGTGCATTGTTGTGGTCTGGCTGCCCCTAGCTTTCTTTCGGCCTAACCCTACATCACAAAACAGCGTTCATTAGGACAGTTGGTGGTAACACATGTTCCAACCACCTCAAATGATGAAAGTTCACTACTTCGTCAATTGATCTGCCATCTTTACCTAATACCCGTTTCCAAACGCTAGCATTGCTTACTCGATTGTACCAAGATAAACGAACACTGGTGACAGACGAATATCTTTTATTCTTAGTAGCCATGTTTCGCACCCGTAAAGTAGGACCCTATAAGAAACTGACACTGGAAACCAATAAATATGTAATTTATGCAACAAGCTAATACAAGGATTCTCAAAAAAAGAACATGGAAGAACTATTATGATACCTTACATTGTGAACTATATCTATTCAAATTAAACTAATAGTTTTTGTTGTGTACAAGAGATATGTACTATATTATGACTATAGCACTCAAGAATAGTGATCCTTATGTAGTATGTTTTTACGAAAGTGACAATACGAGAAGTGAACGTCCGATTCATAAACCGGGATTATGGATACAGAGGGTCCACCTAGGGCTAGAAAACCACCATTCAAAATATATAACCCACATGGTTGTGAATAAGTAAGCAACAAGTGAACCTAGTTTGGTCACCGACTACGGTAAGATTGGCTATACTGAGGTTACTTCACTCCCTCATAGTTAAGATGAAGGCTTGGAGAATGGTCTGAATATCAAAAGACCACTCAACCTCATACACAAATACGAAAATGAATAATCATAAAGAAAGTGTTCTACTCACTTCAACATGTACTATGTAAACTGGATAGTTGCTGAATTACACTTGCGTTACTCTAATATGATATGCACATCATGAAAAGCACCCTAACACTATATAACATCCCTAAAATACCAATCACTATGATGGAGAAATAAGAAGTATTCAACTTACAACTTTGCAATATTTTCACTAACTGCTGAAGAATCAGTACTATCAAGTTTAGATATACATAAAACTAGTGGCTTTTTTTGAGAAGCAAGGTATGTAACCTCCAAAAGACTGACCAATCCTCTTGTTCTCCAATTCTCGAAAACGAACAAAAGTATGTCCGACATTGATTTGGCTTTCCTTTCCAGTTCCATGAGGTCAGGTGACCAGTCATCGACCTGCTACTTTCGTGAATAAGAAATAAAGTTGAAACCTAATTATATACCTGATGATATAGGTGGAGTAGTAACACCAACTTGGTAATAAATTTAAACCAAAAGCACATTTATTAAACCAATATGTAATAAGTTTGTTATAAATCCATACTGAGATATAATATTTCAGGTTGATAACTAGTAGTTTAAGCAAGATCGTCTTAATAAAAACGTAATTGGATAGAAAACAGCTTTAGAATTAATATGCTTATTTATGACTACAGTTTTGTAGTGCAGATAATATATGAGGTTGATGCATTAAGGTCAGGACATGGCCAGCAACAAGCAGTAGTCTGTTGGGCTCTGTGGTTTCGCTACCAAATCGAAAATTTTGTTAATACGAATTTATTTCCTTTATCAGATTGCTCAAGAATTATTCTTCTATTTGGGTCTCTGGAATGTATGTGGTTATTTACTAAACTCACCTAATTAGTGTAGCAAACGAACACAGTCCCTCCATTGTATATGTGAAAATTAGATATCAACTTTTAACAAGTGCTGTGCAGACTTCAAAAATAGGACGGATACTTCTGAGATGCCTTAAAATTGACTTGAATAAACTCCTAGTGCAACATTAGATGGCAAAGTAATCGCAAGAGTTCACTAGTTCATTTATTGTAAAAGCATTATATACTCAATATTGGCCAAGCGAAAAACATTCGCATAACCTTTGCACAATAACTTTAGACTAAGTTCCTATCTACTATTTCCCTACCATTGATATGATTATTATTTTTACACTTGCGTTTTTATCATATCACTCTTTTCCCCCTACTTCTTTGTGATAACTTATGAAGATGAACTATTTCCTCAAGTCTTTTGTTGCTTAAAACTGACTGGCAAGTTTCAGAATATTTAAAAATCGTCCCATTATGATTCAGGTTATAATATTTACGAAATTTCAATACAGGAAACATTCTAGATAACTAAGGTTCAGACAAACACGATTAGTGGAAAAATTTCAATTATAAATGAAGTAATGAAACCATTCATAGTGATCTTATCCTGAGTTAATCTGAAGGAAATCTACCTGGGGTACTGACTAGTGACTGTTAAGATAACACGACAAAAAGACTGTGAAACAGGATATACTTTTCTGCCTAGACTCAAACAACTAAAACACGATGAAACTAACAACTTTACACAGATTACAGACACTCAAATATGCGACCACTTATTGATAATAATGCAGTAAAACCAGGCAAAAGGTTAACTATTACAAACTTATGATTCACTACACAATGCTAAAGTCATTGGCAAATATTTTAGAACGAAGTGAAATGTTTTAAAATCGATCAACTCATCACAGGTTTCAACAAAATACTGATTATGTTGATAAGCACTATTATTAATCTCCACAATAATTTATAAACAATTTAGTGTATGAGCTCTTACTGAGTAACCGAGATACGCCGACATAAATGAAAGAAAGAGACAGCTTTGAACCAATGGTTGTGTCTAGTGACGTTAGTCCTCTGATAATTACATAATAAATCCTTCCAAGTTCATTTAACACATGGACGTTACGTACTTCCTACAGATTGACGAAAATGAGATATAAAACCGGGACAAGGTAGTATTCGTGTAATATTTAACAGTAAAAGAGAACCGTTCAATACTATTCAAACCCAGCTGTTAAAAGGCAACATGTGTTTGTATTTTAAATGCACTACCGCGATGAAATAAACAACTCACGCAACAAAAAATAAAAAAATTAACTAACCGGATTATAATATGTGAGACCAAGACGATCAAGAATCGGTATGGCCACTTCTTTCCTCCAAGTAGTAGGATTACAAGCACCTCCAAGGAAGACTACATGTATTAAAAGGCGCCCAACTTACAGTCGTATCTACTGAGACCTAAGCTTGCCTCAAAAGAATTCACAGTAATCGAATCAAGTGCACAAGCTGCGTACAAAATTACATCTGAGTAACGAATCTGGTCGGTGGAATTCTGAAGAATCCTAGGTACCACTAACATCTCTGAAAATGTGACTAAATTACTTGTTAAGAGCAACGCACGTTGTTCAACAGGCATTGGTAAACCAAAGATCTCCAAGATGCTCTTTATGTCGCTAAAACAACAATTTGTCGATAACTTTAGTACATCTGATGATATCATCGTCAACGATTGCAATCTAAGTTTAAAAAGGAAATTTATCACTATTTTCTGTGAACTTCATTACTTTAAAACACCTAAGGATAGTCTAAAGTCTTTCTGAGTAGCTTAGATCGGAATCACATTATGATTGGAACACCACGAACAAGGTCACACTTATCTTGGAGGAAAAACTGAAGGACGTCCAATACCTTCAATATCTTTTTCACGACCTAGTATAAAGTGGTTGATTTCTTTGTGCTCGATTCTTGTTCTTTATAAACGGTCCATGGTGTTAAATAGTGTCCAACGGAGATAGAGTAGTCACTCTACTGTCTAATCTAGTCAGTTGGCAGTTATTTGTGAGTTTGTATGTCCCGTGATTTGCATGAAAACGTTTATTTCAGGGTAGTAGGTTTCGGTATACCAGCAGCCGTAATATCACCAGACCAGATTTCAGTTATTTGCAATGCGAAGAATAATAAGGAGAAAACTCTACTGCTAATAAGTACTAGTTAAATAAGTAGATATTTTAGTTTGTGCTAGGGGACCGAAGTGTAAGCAAGGAAGAGAAAATAGAAATAATCAGCGAAATAGATTAGATTAATGATCTGATAATATGGCGATAATGATGAATATCAAGTCTCAAGACATGCTTCTAGGACGGCTTGTCCAAGAAGGAGATGATAGTCCGTTTGTGAGTACGAGTTAACCAAGACTCTTCTTGAAGATGTCCACTGAGGGGGATGTGGTCACGTCGGCTGAGAGAGCATATCAAGTCACAAAGACTCTTAATGATAAAGTGTGCACTAACGTTAGTGTTTTCCATTTGATGAGCAATTTTTTGAGGATTGCCTCGATGTGAGTGATTGTGATGCATCGATAAGATCCTAACGTTGGGATGGTTTGTCGTGCTTAATATGCTATACGCCACAATCAAACCACCTCTGATTCTATTGTAACTCAGGAGAAATAATCCGAAATGCTGGAGTATATATTCTTCATTTTTATTATTCAGCCCTGTCATCCATTTCATTGTTCCATTCTTGTTCATTCTATATCGTCCCAGGTGATTGGAAGTGGTTTGGATGACAAAGAAGAACTATTTTGTTACGCTAGATAATTCTCCATACAAACAAGCGATGTTTGATTGACTGAATAGTCATTCAGAATCTGCTCACGACTAATCTCCATTTTACTTTGAGGTATACATATTTCAGTAAACGAATTTACCTTCATCAACAGAATTTATAAGTGACTCAGTAACCAGAGCGCGTAGAATTGCAAGTATTTAACACCTATTTATACTGTATACGCTTTAAAGCAGAGTATTGTATCTTCCGCTGAATTAGCGATTAAATCAGACATTTCGTTAGAATTACATGGCCGATTTTATAATATACATTTATTCTAATCTAGATGTCCACATGCGCTACACAACCTGCACAAAACAGAATGAAAATGGTTTAAGGAGTATTTCATTGATAATTCCTGTGCAGTTTAAAGGCAGTTAAGACGTTTCAGAGCGATACTTTGCACGATACGTAGTATGATGTATCATGCTTGTACAAAAATGAGATAGAAGACGATGCTGGAAAACAGGGCTAGAAGAATTGAGTGTTTTACCACCAGTTGTTCAGAACTAGTAGAGTATACTATCAGCCTTGGGGCTACACTTGTAGTTGCATTTCAGAGAAAAGTTGCTGAAAAGCATCTATGCAGTTTCTGGGAAGCTGTTTCAGAAAAACGTGATTTGTACAGAAAGTATGTTATAAATTAGACTCAATATATTCATTTAACACCAGAAATGTGTTTTTATTTTCAGATTCCCGTCAATATATAGAGATATTTAAAGTATGCCTTCCACGTAAAGGATATATCTAGCCGATCAAAAGATCTGTTTGTCAACCTCCGAAAGGAACAGACTCTTCGAATTAGGATCACTAAACCACTGTTATTAAGAGAGTCTATAGTCTCCAAATAACCACTACGATATGTAAGTAATCTTGTTAGTTCACAAAAGAACACGTGATACAAACCTAATAGCTTATAATGGAAATGAAGCCTCAAGGGAGACTAAGAGGAAGATGATCTAAAAGTATTGAGTTCTAACCATAATGTTTCGTTGGTACTTCTGAAATGCGATAGCGAATAATGAATGGCAGGGAGAAATGAGAGGTGTTCTTTAGGATGGAGCAGCAGGTTAGTTACTTGGTATTAGAAACTATTGTCACTAAACATTTAATCATCATATGTAGAATATAGTCCAAAAAAAGGAACTACCTGACTTATACTGACATGTATTTTAGTGAACACAAATTAGATACTAGATATTTCGTTTCTTTATAGTCGCTACAGCAGTCAATATCCACAGTTAACTTGTATTGATCGTAACCTACCACTAAGTGCTTGGTTTGCTGCTCAGATAAATCCATCCTACGCTAATGATCTCCAGGTCTATCGGCCACGTCCGTGAATTAGCGATTTTAAGATTTGCGACATACCTTTTTAGGCCGCTATTCACTACGTGCGACTATTGGCGTTGGAATTTTATTCATTAGCAATACTGAATACCTGTACCGCTTCACGCCGCTGGTGCCCATTGCGTAGAACATTTATCGGACTGAGTAATCCATGTTTGTATAGATATCCCCAGAAAGCAATTTTTGGTTACATTCCCTTGCATAATGTCTGCCAACAATTACAGAATAATATACTTCTCTGGTGTGCAATTCTACTATTCCTTATGATTGGTGGATGACCATGAAGAAGTAGCAAATTAGCACTGGCTTTTGAAATACTGATATTCGTCTTTGAGTTAGCACGTCCTGAATAGGTCATTCAACATGTCCAACACAAACTTAACAGTAGGACAGATACAACGCAGAACTTCGTACGTAAGTACATAAGTTCAGGTTGCCATGCCCCATCACCACAGAGAATCAACTGTCAGTTCAAATCCAACAGTGATAACAATAATAGAAGTATTAGCAGTAATGGAAAAGATTAGAGGGCGAAGATATGATTCGAGAAGTATAATTCAGTACGATAAATTTACAAGGTGAAAGGTAGAGATTATGAGGGATGTAGAAACTTAAAAATTCGTAAAACACAAAGAGTGGATGCACTTGCGCCATTGCAAACGATTTTGAGTCATATCGTTCAAGGTCTCTAACCATTGGTGACATACGTCTCGCGGACCCCAACCAGGTAGTCTACATCTACCAACATGACTCAGCCCACTTGTCAGTGACTTCATGCATTTCTGCCATGTTTTGGTCTGACCGACCCTAGCTTTCTTCCAATCTACACCTACGCCACAAAACATAGCTCGTCGAGGCAGTCGGTGGTTAGGCATTCGTAACACATGTCCCAACCACCTCAACTGATGAAGTTTCATTACTTCATCTATTGATCTGCCATTCTTACCTAGTACTCGTTTCCTAACGACAGTATTGCTTACTCGGTTGTCCCACGATATACGAGCAATGCTTCTTAAACATCTATGATCGAATACTAGTAACCTACGAACATCTTCTACTCTCAACGGCCATGTTTCGCATCCATATAGGAGAACGGAGCGAACTGCTGCGCAGAACACCCGTCCTTTGATCAGCAAACGGATATCTCGCCTACGCCATAAGTGACACAGGTTGGCAAAAGCCAATCGAGCTTTCTGAATCCGCGCTGAGATTTCGTCAGTCACCAGGCTATCAGCGCTGATGAAACTCCCCAGATAAGTAAAGCAGTCTACACGCCCGACTACTTCACTCCCTATCACTAGTTCAGGTGCCGATGCAACCCAGTCTTGAAGCAACATTTTGCATTTCGATAGAGAAAACTGCATGCCGAACATGCTTGCATTGTTCCTTACGGTAGTCAGAAGACTCTGCATTTTGTCAGCGTCTTCACCGAATAGAACTATGTCATCGGCATATTCTAAGTCTATAAGCGAGCCTCCTGGTAAAAGGTCAACCCCTGAAAAATCTGACGAGGATAATGTTAACTCTAAAAGGATGTCTACAACAAAGTTAAACAAGAATGGAGAGAGTAGACAGCCCTGACGGACACCACTTGATGTAGAGAATTCAGATGACAGTTCGCCATATGCTCTCACTTGACCAGTGGTGTTCGAGTAGAGAGCTTGTATAAGGTTAATGTACTTCTCTGACAATGTACTTCTCAGACACTGCCACAGAACCTCACGATCCACTGAGTCAAATGCCGCCTCAACGTCCAGGAGAACAACTATTGTACGACGCCCTAAATTATTCTGCCCATCGATCCAGTCTCCTGGATTGAGAATAAATAATAGTCCTATCATTTTCCGATATAGTCTCACTTACACTAAGATTCCTGATACCAGTTTCCTTGATAAGTCGGAAAATTTGTCTAGTGTTGCCTATCGCCGCTGCCTTTTCTATCGCTTTTGCTTTCGCCACCCACCACTGTTCACGGTTGTTGCGCAGGTTTTTTATTAGCCTGCGTTTAAGCTGACTTCGTTCTTCATGTTCAGAGGCCAGGTGGGATGAGTTTTCGAGTATCCATCATAAGGAAGGTAAGACGATGTTCTGGCTGTGCTTGGTCTTAAGGGAGGTGCTTATGTTACGTGTATACGTAACAGACAAATCTATTCCTTCTTAGCAACTAAACTGATATAATTTACAGTGTAGTCTCACAGGGTTTCTGATTGGCTACGTTATTTCTCTTACTACCGACATAATAATACAGGAACAGCTTAAAGTTGAATTAGCTAGATATTCTAAAGTAATCGCCTACCTTGTTAATGCATATTAGTTTACAGAAGAAATGAATCCAAGACTGATCTGTGCCGTACATAACTTATATGGTTCTCAGTGGTGCCTGTCCATATGACAGAGCAGCAAAAACGCGGTGACCTTGTCACACTCTATCTGAGCACTTACTGATTTTCTAAGCTTTATTAGTGTCAGTGGGATGCTGCTCCGACCACCAAACTAGAGTGGGCGGAGCCAAACAATCTTTAGACACCAATAAACTTTGCGACTGATGACAGAACTACTTGCGAGAAACTCAGTAGAAAAAATAAAGCTGATGAGATAACGAATTAGTTAAGCATAATAAGTAAACTGATATAACAGAAGGATGATCAACTCAACGACGGCATGTAATGAGGTAGTAAGTATCCCTACTGGTAACAAAGTTATATGTTAGCGATCATATAAAATAATGGGATAGTTTAATATGACTAAAAGATTTATTTCCTGTCACTATTTAGATAAAATACAATCACAAGATTGAACTACGATTACAAACCAAATAAAAAGAAAAGTCTAACGACCATACAAAAAAAGATACAAAACCTACTGAACATAAACCTAATCACAGTTTGAGGAGCAGCATTAACCAATGTACAGAAGATACACTAGTAAATAAAAACTGTTATCTACACATAGATTTATTCAAATATCTTCCATTCCAGGCATTGGAAAACTTGATGCAAAATCAGCAACACGATTACGTAAATCCTTAATCTTTGATTTTATGTCTTCATCTTCTTGAAGGACAAGTCGGAAAGATTTGAGATTTTCTGAAACAACAAAAACATTTACTGATTCACAAAAATAACTTCATTATAAAAATCTGATTAGCTTGATACAGGCCTCTGTACCAACCATTATATTCTTCATACAAAGATTACAGTAAAAAAAATATGCATACATACACTTGGAGTGATTAGAAGTGAGCTTAAATTAGTGATTACTTGCACATACTAACTTACTGAAAACTGATAAAAGGAAGAATGATTTTAAAAAGGATTAATAATTAAAGCTACATAAAAAAGGGAGGCTTGCATAGCAGTACTAAAAGATTAGTTTAACAGAAAATTTAGATCCTTTCAGAGATTCTCACAAACACTTTAGAATGAATTACATTGTGGCGCATATATTGTGAAAAGTCTTACTTGAGACGGACTTAACCAAAACTGTCAGATCAAGCAGTTCATCAATGAATGAAGCGACTTTTTCAAAATCTTTTTCTTTGAATCCACGAGTCGTTAACGCTGGTGTGCCTGAATGAAAAAAATTAAAAGACACATATCATCTGTTTCAGAAACGTCTGTAATTATTTTTTGAAATAATTCAAAGGAAGTACTCAAATATTTATGCCAAAACTAAACATTAAGACTTCATCGATAGAATGCTTTTAAAGCATAACAAGGATGTGCTATGTCCGCGTCACACATTACTTGAAAACGAGGAACCATCACGATTCCCCCAAAATGAAGCAAGAACACAAAATTATTGGTAAAAGTGAATATTTATTCACTCTAAAATACAACAACCCTACTCGATAATACACTCACTTCTCTACTGATTTATAAATGTACTAAGTATTAATTAGGAAAAAGTCATATACGAAATTACACTTGGATTTGGATCATAATGTAACTACCTAGACGGCTCTGAGGCATACTTTTTGAGGATTAACTGTACTACTAGACTAAGCAAACATACGGAGATGAAGCAAGATTCAAACCTGGTTGTTGAAGACTGAATGCCCTAGTTACAACGTCACGGTATGACCTACAGCCTGAATATAGATTCCAAAAGTTGTCATTTTGGAATGCTATTAGTCATATATGTATAAAATCAAACATTAATCACCCGTACAACCGTAGAGGTTTGTATAATTTTTTGTTATTATTCAAGACATGTCACATACCGTGTTCAGAATTAATGTTAGTTGAAGACAGAATAATAAAAACACGTACAGTTAGAAGACGTTCATAAAGTAATATATATTCGATACAATACAAAATATGCGAGAGAAGCATAGAGATAGCCGTCAATGACAGTTAAGCTTAAACACTGTGGGCAAAAAGGGATGAAAACTTAAGAAGAGCTCGTACATCTTGAAAATAGATGATCGGGAAAACTTTGTATAAAGAAAACGGGGTGGAAATCTCACACCTAGAAAGCAAACATGTCCCGTAAAGAAAGATTAACTGTTGCTTTTTTAAATCCATTAACAATTCTGACTCCCTAGTGTACATGGGTCCAGATTGAAATAGTGAGTCACTTTACATTCAGAATTTTAACGATGATTATTGTGGTGACATGTGATCAAAGTTAACCGTGTGTGCACGGATCATGATCAACCTCCTATTTCATGATCTTAAGACTCATCCCAATTTTACAAGTCGTAAGCATCAATTATTAGCATATTCGTTACCCTCATTGCAAAGTAAATAGTTGTCTCCTGCATTCATAATATAATTACGCTTCAATAAGACAGAAACTGTTGCATACCTTTATTTCTTGATCATTTTCGACTGCTTTACCAAGTGATGCTACACCCACTTTATTCAGTGCTTGAAAACTTTCGATTAGTTAACTACATGGTCACTGCTTTTAATGTCATCGAACTTAAAACATCAACCAGTTATTCGAATGTTCTGATTAATTCCAGTATCGGTTTGCATATTAATAAAACCATTAAATCATTAAAAGGGAAATTTACCAGACTGTAAAAATGTAATTGAACTTTTAGAAGATAGACTTAAATATTTGTGCTTAATTCATTCATCATTACAACGAAGTCAAAATAATGTGAAAATGTATCTTAAGTTAACTAGCAATATCTAGGAACTATTTAACTGAAGTAAAATTGAATGAAAAGTATGATTTGCTACGTTTAAATGTATAGGAAGCTAAAATGAGGAATTTTACCGATTCTCAGACCAGATGGTTGCTGTGCACTAGAATCACCAACAACTGTATTTTTGTTTAGAACAATGCCAACAAGATCTCCAATCATTTGAACTCGCGCTCCATCACCACGACCTAATTTCGGTTTACTCGGTGATTTAGATAAATCAGCAAGAACGAAATGAATATCAGTGCCACCTGTCACAAGACGGATACCGAGTGATGTAAGAGCATTAGCTAAAGCCTGAGCATTCAATAGAACCTGACGAGCATAATCCTGAAAATCAGGTTTACTTGCCTAGATACAATGTAAAAATAGACAGAAAGATTTTAATTATTAATTTATTTATTTACACTTACACTAATATCAGTTTAATTATTACCAAATTACAAATAGTGAAACTTATTAAATACGAAAAACAGGATAAACAGTTTATTACTTTTATTATTATTAACTTAACATCAGTTAGTGGTAACATGAAACTTAGTACATCAATTTAAATCACAATATCGCATTAGCATAGAGGTGAAACAGTCAAGCCGAATCTCAAATTAGTGGAGGCAGTAACAGTAATAGTAGTAATAAGAGATTAGAGACCGATAACTAGTATCAAGAAAAAGTTAGGACTAGTGAGATAAATAAACAAAAAGTACGAAATTCGGAAGCTTAGAATTTGGCGGGCGGCAGCAAATGGAAGTATCTGAGCTCCTGCAAACGATCTTAAACCATATCATTCTAGGTCATCAATCACTAGTTACAATACTCAAACGCAACCCAATCAGGTAGACAACACCTACAAACATGGCTCAGTCCACTTGCCAGTAACTTCATGGACTTGTGAATTGTTGTGGTCTGGCTGCCCCTAGCTTTCTTTCGGCCTAACCCTACATCACAAAACAGCGTTCATTAGGACAGTTGGTGGTAACACATGTTCCAACCACCTCAAATGATGAAAGTTCACTACTTCGTCAATTGATCTGCCATCTTTACCTAATACCCGTTTCCAAACGCTAGCATTGCTTGCTCGATTGTATCAGGATAAACGAGCACTGCTTCTAAAACATGAATGATCGAATACTGGTAACATACGAATATTCTCTATTCTTAGTGGCCTTGTTTCGTACCTGTAAAGTAGGATGAACCAACCTATTGCGGAGTAAACCCGTACTTCGACTGGTAGAGAGACGCAAGTTGGCAGAAGTCAATTGAGTCTTCTGTGCCAAATAGTACAGCAGGAATCGCGAGCGATCGATTTATGCTGAGTCTCCAGAACACGCATGCATGATCAGATAACAATCAGTAATTTAACTTCACCTTGTCCAGAAGCAGCCCGGTTTGTGCTCCGTATATCTGGAAGCCCTGCGGCTGCTTTCCGTGGCTTCGTTGGTGTAGGTATAGCATTGAGTTCTAGGGCAGAACTAGCGCTCCCAGACTGTATCCCAGTAAACACTCGCTTGTGCGATGTCCAACTAAACGGGACGGTACGGACTCCACAAGATGGAGAAACTCGCCGTTACCTCTTCGTCATATCTGCCTACGCTCCCACTGACTGCAGCTCACATGAGATAAAAGATGAGTTTTACAGGAATCTTTCTAACCTCCTCCGAAAAGTTAGGCGCTTTGATGTAGATATGGTAGCGGGGGACTTTAATGCTCAAGTAGGTAGACTAAGTGAAAAGGAAAGACACCTGGGTGGATCTTATGTTATCATGGCTCAAAGAACAAATAATGGCGACCGCCTGTCGCAGCTGTGCTCAGATAGTCGCCTATTTCTGACAAATACCAACTTTAAATATAAGAGACAACTTCGTTTGACATAGCGACTCCAAAAATCGACTCAACGCTGGACCCAACTAGACCACATTGCTAACAGCAACCGATGGAGAGGCTTGATAGAAAACTACCGATCATTGCGAAGCACATATTTTGATTCCGATCGTGACCTAGTGCGAGGAAATACATGTCTGCATCTTACTGAACGTAAGAACGACACCACAAGGGAACCTCTTAAGGTTCTACTTAGAGATATTAAAGTCAAGATTATATTTCAGGAGCAACTAGAAAAACAGTTAGACGGCCATGTAACTGATTTCCACGCTGAGGCAGCTTGGAATGATATCCGAAAAGCTAAGGAAACAGCATTGATATCTGCTAGTAAGGTAAACCACAAGGTTAAGGAGAAACAGTGGATCTCAGTAACATCTACTGAACTGATAGATACTCAAAAACTCATCCCATCTGGCTACGAACATGATGAGGAGTGGAGTCAGTTTAGGCGCAGGCTGATAAAAAGCCTACACAACAGTCGTGGGTAGCGAAGGCAAGAAAGATGGAAAAGGAAGAGGCGATATGTAACAGTAGATAACTATTCAGACTTATCAAGGAAACCGGAACTAGGAATCCGACTGTCAATGAGACTATCTCGGGAAAGAGTGGGCTTATTATTCATTATCAATCCAAGATATTGGATGGATATACAGAACACTTCAGGGATCAATTCGATTCGCCTCCAACCACACTTCCGTTGCATATGATCTCCAATCAACCTGAATGGCAAATTGATGTAAACTCTAAACGAGGTTGAAAAAGCTATACATCTGAAGCCACGGAGAAGAGCTGGCCCTGATAGGCTAACTCCTCAGAATTTTAAGGATGGTGGTCCAGTTTAAGAAGTGAAATCGACTGAGCTCTTAGTTGGAATTCGGAAACCGGAAGTAATTCCATTTGACTGGTCTCAATCGCTGATTGTTCCAGTCTGTAAGAAAAGACAAACGTCCTCATGTGACAAGCACAGTGGAATCAGTCTAAATTATTAGCTTGAAAAATAATTCGAGGCTCAACTAGGGATCATGAAAATCAGACTCGAGAAAATCAGGGTGGGTTCAGATCACTATAGTAGTATTTCTCGACCTTAAAGCAGTATTCGGCTATGCCGATCGTGAGATTCTCTGACAGTGTATGTCTTTAAAAGGTGTACCAGAGAAGTACATTAACCATATACAAGCTCTCTACTCGAACACTACTAGTCGAGTTACAGCTTATGGGGAACTGTCACTGGAAATCGTTACTTCAAGTGGTGTCTGTCAGGGCTGTGCACTCTCTCCATTCTTGTATAACTTTGTGACTTTATCTTCGTCTGACTTTTCAGGAGTGGATCTTATACCAAGAGACGCTTACTGACTTAGAGTATGCTGAAGATATAGTTCTTTTCAGTGAAGACGCTGAAAAAAATGCAGTCTTCTCACTAGCCTAAGCAACTATTCAAGCATATTCGGGATGCGGTTTTCCACCTTGAAATGAGAAATGTTGCTTCAAGGACTGGGTTGCATCGGCACCTGAACTAGTGATAGAGAGTGAAGCAACTGAGCGTGTTGACCACTTAACTTATCTCGATAGTCTCATCAGTGCTGATGGACTGGTGACTGATGAAATCACAGCACGGATACAAAAAGTTCGATTGGCTTTCGCCAACCTGCGTCACCCATGGCGTAGGTGAGATATCTATTTGATAACTAAAGGACGGGTGTACTACGCAGCAGTTCGCTCAATTCTACTTTGTATTGGTGATTCGTGGCCAGTAAGAGGACAGGATATTCGTAGGTTACCAGTATTCAATCATAGGTGTCTTCGAAGCATTGCTCGTGTATCCTTGGATAGGAGTTCCGTATATGCAACCACTGACTGCCTTAACGAGAATTGTTTTATGGTGTAGGGGTAGGTTGGGAGAAAGATGGGGATGGCAAAACTAAAACAAGGCACAAATCCTAGAAGTCATTAACAACTCAACTGAGCCATGCTAGTAGGCGTAGACTAACTTGTTGGGGTCCACGAGACAATAGTAACCGATGATTAGAAACTTTGAATAACATGGCTCAAAATCGTCTGTAATGGCGCAGATGAGTCCATTCTTTGTCTTCTCTCAAATTATAATATTTTTGATTCCTCATCACCTCTATTTTTCTCGTTTTGAATTTATTTCACTGGATTATACTTCTTGAATAATTTCTTTGAACCCTAATCTTATCCATTACCGCCAATATTTCTACTACATCTACCACTATGCGATTTGAATTGGTGATTGCATCTCTGTGATAATGTGGTATGACAAGTTGAACTGATGTACGTACGTACGAGGTTCTACGTTGTAGCTGACTGACTGACTGATTGACATAGGCTGTTAGTGAGAGAAGTTCTACTCCATGATCACGAAATGTATCTTCTTGCAGCAGGGATACTCGATAACTATGTTCGACTAACGATATCTGCGAAGCAGAGCTAACTTCCGGTAGGCAAAACCATGTTAGTAATGCAGAGATCTGAGAGAGTGTATTCGGGCGTAATGACGGTAACCAAATCTTGAAATACCGGTTTCAGTAGTGGTTATTTATAACAAAGCGATGTGGTATGGACGATCACATTATGGAACTGGCATTTGTCAGATCATCATGACTTCTCGGGTTTGGATCTTGTAGATAACTCAACTCATTAATCCGACATATTATAATTAAAATCCAATGAAGAACCTGCTGTGACTTTCTATTACAACCCCTCTTAAATAAAAATTTTTATCTAGGTTGTATTTTAATTACACCGTATCTTATACTAAATATTATTATTGTTCGTGTATTTATTATGAGACCACTCACTCTTCACAATATCTAGCATTTGTAGAGCTTTATTGTGCCAGAGTTTGTGTTAATAATATGATAACAAAAATGCATAAGTCCCGGCTGATTTGGTAGAAGCAAACTTCTCATTACAGCCATCATCATAAAAAATATCGAACGAAAAATCATTATTGAGTCCAGTATAACTTTTCTTTGGGAGAAGCAAACGTCTATCGGTACCAGATGAAGTAATCGGAATATATGAACATTTTAGGCAGTTATCAAACTACGTTTTTATATATATGCGTGTTAATATTATGAAACAGACTTAGGAAACCATATCTGAGAGAAATTTGGAATGATTCTCAGCATAAACAGTAATGAAAAATAATTAATTGAATAGATTTAGAGCCGCAATAGCATGAGTACTCATTTTTAAAAAGGAAATTGTAATTGTAAGTCAGTTTTTATTACAGAATATAATCGACCATCCTAAGTATGATAACCATGAGACTAATGAACAGAGTTGGTCTGCTTTCAGTTCTCCATTACTAGATAGACAACTTTAGTTTCAACAGCTGGATAGTGACATTGATCCTCGCATAAATTGTTTCAAAAATGATTATGTACATCTGTTCACGGTAAATGAGTTAAATTTAAAGAGAAGAAAAATAACCAAAAGATTATTTATGACTAGATAACGTACCTCAAGTGCCATAGCAGCAATAGCAGCTATTGCATTTTCATGTGGTCCACCTTGAAGACCAGGAAAAACAGCATTATTTATTCTTGTTTCCAACTGATCAACAGGAATAAAACAGTTTACACTAGGTTTCTCCATAGATCTCTCTCGTTTACGATAGAAAATAATTCCAGAGCGTGGTCCACGTAGAGTTTTGTGTGTTGTAGAACTCACAACATCTGCGTATTCAAATGGTGAAGGGATAACTTTTGCAGCAACTAAACCTGAAATATGGGCCATATCAGCTAGTAATACAGCTCCAACTGAGTCACAAATCTAGGGAGACAAATAAAACCTAGAGTCATTTTCAACACTACACATCATTGAAATTACATATCAATATATTTTCTGGACAACAGTGAACCTTGAGAAGCTTGTCTGTAGTAGGCCTGTTGTTGGAATTAAGATTACACCAATAAATAACTAGTGACAAAATATTTGAATTCGAATAATACACACCGATTTCATCAACTGATGTGATCTTATTATCACCTTTCATGTTACACAAACATAACTACAGCGGAGATCAACATCAATAAAAGGAAGTGATTTGAGCCAAAACTTTTATAATTTAGTGGTGACAAGTTTCCTGAAATTTAGATCCATCACAATTTCGTCATAACTTCGCAAACAAAGCAAACATCACTAAATTGAGTTAATAACCCTTGTTATTAATGAGAAGACACGAATTCCAAGCGACTGTTCAAAAGGTTTGACGTTTGGTGAACTACGGATCAAGTCAACTGTTACTGATTTGTGAGATGTTATTTTGTTTTGAGAGCTAAGTATCATCGCATAAACCATGGACGTACAAGCTGATTTAGACAAATTTCTAAAACATAAAAATCACTGGTTGTGTGATTTGTACAACTTTCATTCCCATTCTGTAAATTATGCTATCCATTTATTTTCTTTGATTACTCGGTTTCTTAAAAGGAGTTTGTGGTCCCATTAACATATTCAGCCCCCAAATGCCCTGGTACGGCCGAGAGATTGTGCTATCTCTCTCGAAATGTCCTATGGCCACCTGTCTGTAGCTACTGCTAGAGAAGTTCTACTCACTGTCTTTTCGCATAATAGGGGTGGTGGTGGTGGACGGAAAGGGAATGTCCTGCGTTGTAATCGGGTTAGTGGGTACGGAAGATCTATGCAGGAGGATTGGAAAATCCTGATTCCAAACTGGTGGTGCACACAGGCCCCAGAATCCAAGTGGGACGAATAGCATCTCAACCTACTTTGGTCAACAGCCGTCACGGGACTACACCTTCCAATGTTTTTCAACTGCCTTATGAGTTAAACTTTTGGGTCAAAGGCTCGGTGAGCGGCCTCCTAAGTGAAGCATTCGAATTTCTCCACGTTTGACCTGTAGCTTGTTCTGCTAACCTCGACCTTTATTGGTTGCTGTTGACCTTAAACCTGTCGTTGTTTTCACCTTTATTTTGATTTTATCCCCCTTTTAATCTGTTTCTTGATCCTATGTCACCTATGATTTCCCTGATTGATTGATAAACTGGGTCAATGCCGATGTGTTTGTCGATTGCTGATTGACCTGAGTGCCAAGCTTCTAAAAATTCTCTAGTGTTCTTTGTCCTCTCCCTACCCAGTATTTACACACTGTTCCAATCGAATGTGTCCATAATTGTCGGTGTGTATTGATATAAGCGAAGCGTTGTCATGGCGTTTTACTGCTAATTGGTGTTCACGTAAACAAAGCTGAAGAGGCCGTCCACTTTGTCCTGTTTTTCAGTCTGAGCAATTTATTAAAGGTTTTTTCTTCTTTGTCATTTTGTCCTTTGGTTGAAATGCTTCTGTTGGTTTGTTTGCCACACCTATTCCAAATGGTTTTAGTAGTCGTGCCGTAGGCTGCGATATATTTTTTATGTGTGGTAGGATGATCCGGTTATTGGTTCCTGTACTTGATTTCGCTTCTGTTGATGATTTCGGTTGATGTTCTTTGATGAAGTTGCGTGAATAGCCTTTCTTTTGGAAGATAGTCATAAGATGTTTTTCCTCGATTTTTAGTACTTCATTTATGCTGCAGTGTGTATTCGCTCTCTTGAACCTACAAAATCAACTGTATATATATATATATATATATATATATATATATATATATATATATATATATATATCGATATCCGTTAGTTACTATCAGGAAGTGAATACGCAACTCAGTAATTTGATGTATCGTCAGTTAATGAAGTTAAATCTATAAGAGCATCCAGCTCAGAGAATCAAACACCACCAAAATCATCCACCTGAGCTACTAATTTTCTCCACCATCTCAAAATGTATAAACTTTTCTAGTTCTTACTGATATTAGTTCATGCTTATGAGTCCAAACTTTGAAAAATACGACATAACTTTATTTGATAAAATGTGGAAGTATAATCCTAATACTGTGGAAGCCTACTTGGCCAATTATTGGGGTATACTGTTTCCATTTAATTCACTAAGGTAAAATATTATTTTCAATAATTAACATGAACCCTTATCCTTTGTCCTAAACTACAAATTAACTGTTGGATAACAGAAAATATATTTCTTGATAACCATGTTGATTTATTAAACTCACTTGACGAAAGCGTTTGTAATCCAGCAATCTTGGATAAGCGGTAATCCCAGCAATTATAAGTTTTGGAAATAAATTAAGAGCATCTCGCTGTAGTGCATCAAAATCAATCTCTTCTGTTTCCTTCTGAAAACCAGATATATATGAAGAAATTGTTATCACATAACAAAATAGGCCGATAGTGTAATCAAAGACTAATGAAGTAATTCAGCGAATAAAATTTTCTTTTATATAATTTCATTCGCTTAAAATGTGTAATCGGATTCATAGTTGATTTTATTTGACAAAATAGTCGTCTATAGTAAAATAGAATGGTGTAGAGTAATGATGATGATAAAAAACAAAAAGTAACATCAAATTATATCATGTCATGAATTGTTTATGAAAATCAAATATTTGAAGGAAACTGTGTAGTATTCAGTTGATGAAAAAGTGCTAAGGTTAGGGTAATTACCCAGTCAGTCAGTCAGTTGCAACGTAGAACTTCGTACGTATGTACATAAGTTCATGTTGCCATACCACATTAGCACAGAGACGCAAATGTCAAATCAAACCTCATAGTGAAAAAGATAGTAGAGGTATTAATGGTAATGAAGAAGACTAGGGTTTGAAGATATTATTCAAGAAGTATAATTCAGTGAGATAAGGTTAGAAAGACAAAGATAGAGGTGCTGACGAATCCAGAAGATGAGGATTTGAGAGAGCTCAACGAATGGATGCACTTGCGCCATTGCAAACGATTTTGAGTCATATCGTTCAAGGTCTCTAACCATTGATGACATACGTCTCGCGGACCCCAACCAGGTAGTCTACATCTACCAACATGACTCAGCCCACTTGTCAGTGACTTCATGCATTTCTGCCATGTTTTGGTCTGGCCGACCCTAGCTTTCTTCTAATCTACACCTACGCCACAAAACATAGCTCGTCGAGGCAGTCGGTGGTTAGGCATTCGTAACACATGTCCCAACCACCTCAACTGATGAAGTTTCGATACTTCATCCATTGATTTGCCGTCCCTACCTAGAACTTGTTTCCTAACGACAGCATTGCTTATACGGTTGTTCCATGATACACGAACAATGCTTCTTAAACATCTATGATCGAATACTAGTAACCTACGAACATCTTCTACTCTCAACGGCCATGTTTCGCATCCATATAGGAGAACGGAGCGAACTGCTGCGCAGAACACCCGTCCTTTGATCAGCAAACGGATATCACGCCTACGCCATAAGTGACACAGGTTGGCAAAAGCCAATCGAGCTTTCTGAATCCGCGCTGAGATTTCGTCAGTCACCAGGCTATCAGCGCTGATGAAACTCCCCAGATAAGTAAAGCAGTCTACACGCCCGACTACTTCACTCCCTATCACTAGTTCAGGTGCCGATGCAACCCAGTCTTGAAGCAACATTTTGCATTTCGATAGAGAAAACTGCATGCCGAACATGCTTGCATTGTTGCTTACGGTAGTCAGAAGACTCTGCATTTTGTCAGCGTCTTCACCGAATAGAACTATGTCATCGGCATATTCTAAGTCTATAAGCGAGCCTCCTGGTAAAAGGTCAACCCCTGAAAAATCTGACGAGGATAATGTTAACTCTAAGAGGATGTCTACAACAAAGTTAAACAAGAATGGAGAGAGTAGACATCCCTGACGGACACCGCTTGATGTAGAGAATTCAGATGACAGTTCGCCATATGCTCTCACTTGACCAGTGGTGTTCGAGTAGAGAGCTTGTATAAGGTTAATGTACTTCTCTGGTACACCTTTCAATGACAGACACTGCCACAGAACCTCATGATCCACTGAGTCGAATGCCGCCTCAAGGTTCAGGAACACGGCCATTGTCGGACGTCTGAATGAGTGTCTGTGCTCCAGGACCTGTCGTGGGATGAGTTTTCGAGCATCCATCAGTTCGGTGGATGCGACTGAAATCCACGGATTCATTCTAGCCTTATGGTTTACCTTGCTAGCAGATGTCACTGCTGTTTCCACAGACTTTTTGATATCATTCTAACCTGAATCCGGATGGGAATCGCTTACATGGTCGCCTAACTGTCTTTCTAGTTGTTCCTGGAATATATTCTTAGCCTCATTGTCATTAGGTAGAACCCTAAGAGGCTTTCTTACGGTATCTTTCCTACGCCCAGCAAGCCTCAAACAAATACGAGCTCGCTATAGGGCATGATCTGAATCTAAACATGTGTCCCAAAACGAGCGGCAGTCCTCTATCGAACCCCTCCATCGGTGGCTGATGGCGATGTGATCTAGTTGCGTCCAACGTTGAGACGACTTCGGGGGTCGCCAGGCCAAAAGATGCTTTTCCTTATGCTTAAAATTAGTGTTTGCTAGAAATAGTTGGTTTTCTGAGCACAGTTGCAACAGACGGTCGCCATTGTCTGTTCTGTGAGCCGCGACACCACAACATCCACCTAGGTGTCTTTCATTTTCACTCAGTCTACCTACTTGAGCATTAAAGTCACCAGCTAATAATACTATATCAGAGCGTCTAGCTTTTTGGAGGAGGTCCGAAAGCTTTCTGTAAAACTCATCTTTCACATCGTCTGAACTGCATTCAGTGGGGGCGTAGGCTGATATGACGAAGAGGCAACGACGAGTGTCCCTATACTTTCGAATCCTTACTGTCCCGTTTAGTCGGACGGCGCACAAACAACTATCTACTGGGATCCGGTCTAGGAGCGCTAGTTCTGCCCTACGACTCAATGCTATACCTACACCAGCGAGGCCCCGGGAAGCAGCATCAGGGCTACCGGATACACGAAGGGTAAATCGAGCTGCTTCTTTATCTTGACATGGTGAGGTCAAGTGAATGATGCTACTCGGATCCTGTATGCGCGTTTCCGAGACGCAGCATACATCGATGGCACGAGATTCTAAAGTCCTAGCTAATGATGCCTGTTGCCCTATTTGACATAATGTACGTACATTAAATGCTCCAACATGTAGTTTAGAACGGGGTTTAAGGAGACCAGGAACGACGTTTCGCGAACTCGTATCGTTTGCATTAGCTAAATGAGTGTGAAAAGAGTTAGTCGTGGAGATAAGAGAGGTATGTGTGGGTGTAGGAAGGATTTGATTTTGACCAATTTGGTCTCGTGTGCTGTTACGGGTATGAGGGCGGTTGTCACTTCCCGGCTGCCCACGCCGTGGAAGGTTGTTTCTTGAGGGACCTGAAAACGAAGAGAGATTAGTGGTGGTCTTAGAGACCTGGGAGCGTGACCGCAGAGCCCAAGGGACAACTGCTTGAGGCCGGTCACGCACGGCCTTTTTATGAGTTTTTTGAGGATTAGCTGCGTTCTTAAAGGCCCTTAGTGGGCACCCTTACCCAAGAAGACGGAAATCCGTGAGGTAGGGTGAGGTGTGACATTTTTAGGGTCGACCTTTCCTAACCCTTCCTTCCATGTGAGAAGGCAGCATCGCTGCAGATGCTGGTTGTCCGAGGGAAACACCTTACTGCTGTCACACCCCTCTGCAGTCAGCAGTACGACTTCGCCCTCAGACCTTGAGTAGCTGCTTTTAGTCTCATCGCTCTCCAATCGACCTGCCTGGCATGGCAGAACCTACAGGAACATATGTACCGGCCAACATAGCTCGGTTGGGTCATCACGATAGGCAAGCCCGACCACCACGTCAAGGTAGCAGCTTCGGTCGGGAGGGTAACAACCCAACTGATATCTATTAAAAACAGAGTAAATGAAAGCTGTGATAATGAATAGTTAATAATTGAGGAAATAATTGGAGAGGATGAGGATTAATAATCTAAAAACAAACAAATTAATTAAGCAAACACACAGAAAACAATCGAAAAATCCCCATAGATTGTAGAAGAATCGATAGGAATTCTAAGACCGTGGAAGAATGAGTGACTGAACATGTCATTTCGAATGCAGTTAGGCTTGAACTAGTGGACAGCAATAACCTCTGCTGTAGATAGATTCCTCATTTTAATTCCTTTTAAGTCAGCTCTTCTAACTGTATGTAGGATTTTGAAGGAGGCTTCTGGTGAAGAAAACAACGAACTCGATATCGATATCCCACTACATTATCTGAAGAAACTGCTTCTTCGATGCACTTTCAACGTTCAGTTTAAATTTAATAATTGACGACCTAGAGTTCGGGTTACCACTTGATCCTCCCCTAATAGACTGTTTCACTGTCAATCTCGAGAGAAATATACTTAGATTATTAATAGACAGTTACCTTTACAAGAAATATTTAGAGGACACTTTCATGATTTGTGACGAAAAAATATCAGTACAATGACATCTTCGACAAGCTTGACTTGTCACTAATCAATCAAATTCACAATAAAATCAGAGTCCAGTTCAGAATTCTGATTCCTAGATGTTTTGGTAAAAAGGAGACATGACGGTTCCCTACAAAGATGTATCAAAAAAGTGTCGAAACAGAAATGGCCACTACACAAATTCTCAAAGTTGGGTCACACTGAAGTAAAAAGGAAACCTGATTCACTCAGTCCGCACGAGGGCTAGATGAATATGTACCGATCAACAATGGATATTCAACTAGATTCATTGAGGAAAATCTGAACTCGTAACAATAGTGTGGAAGAAAGTCGTTAGCAGCATATACGATTCTTTTCATGAGTATTCAGTTTAAAGGAGATTCGGCAGCAGGAATTCTACGTGGTAAAATAATGAGTTTCGGTAAAATAGATGTTCAGTGGAAGCATAGTTGGACACAAGTAGGTATCGTAAATTTTTGAAAAACCTACTGTTGTCCAAATCAACAGCAAGCAGGTGGTTTGACTATAATCTAGTTGAAAAGAGTTCACCGTACCTTTACACTTAACTTTATTTTGCATCTACGTCATTCAGTCAGCCATAACGTAGAACTTCGTACGTACGTTCATTAGTTCAAGTTGCCATGCCACATTAGCAGAGAGAGATAGAATTGTCAATTCAAATCTCATTGCGGCAAAGGTAGTAGCAGTTTTAGCGGTAATGAGAAAGATTACGGATCGAAAATCTTATTCGAGAAGTATATCCCAATGAGTTAAATTTAAAAGAGAAAAAACGGTCATCGAAAATTCAGAACTTGAGAGAAGGCAAAGAATGGATGAATCTGCGCCACTGCATCTACAACTTAACAAGGAAAACGTTTATTGGGCAGTGATGTTATAACTGGGGACAATATATTTGCAACCTGAAATACAAATATTATAAAACGACTATTCATAATAAACATTAAGGTTTCAATTTCAAATTTTCCACAATACTGAGACAAGACTGAAAGAACTGTGGCAATACTTCAAGGATTACAGCAGCATTATAAAAATATGCCAGCAGGAACCTTATGACAAGTTATCCTGAGTGCTCGAAAAAAGTCATAAAAGGAGTAAAATAATTTACTAACTGGACTCGCAAACAAAAATACTGAAACTTACATTTAAGTAATAGGGGAGGGATTCGAAAAAAATGGAAGTAGCGCTTATTTTTTTCGATAAAGTTTGGAAACCATGTGTAAGATGACCTCCATCAGGTAAGTGCAGACCCATTAGCCTGTCATGGGGATTTAGTAAGCCAGTATATACAGCGAAATTTGCTGGTGACCCACTATAGGGTTGTACATTAACACCCCACGCAGCATCACCAAGCGCTGCTCCCGGAATCTTGAGACCAAAGAGATCCAATAATCTGGATTGTGCCAGTGTCTCAATAGCATCTATAACCTCATTTCCTCCATAGTATCTGCAAAGTAAGTTTTGCAAAGGACAAAAAAAGTAATGTACATATACAGTGCACTTGCATTCTGCCAAAGGAACTATATTTATGTCATTTGAAACGAAACTTCACTACAAATGACGGCGTAACAAAGTTTTTAAATTATATTAGGGAAAAGGGAAAGTAATACAATCAAAATAAAGTAGAAGTTATGCCCTATACTACTAGGCTATTTACATTAGGAAAGATGCATTTAATCGATAAAGCATTCCAGTGATCTGAAATTCTGATATTAAAGCTTTTTATTTTCAGAGAGATCTAAGTACAATTGATAATATCGGTACCATCAGCAGTAACATGACTAGATAATTCCCAATTATTTTCATTAGCAGCTATCAATGTACACAAAACCAATAACGAAAATAAGCATAACCGACTTGCCTATTTGTATAAAGATGCTGATGTTACATACTTACCACAACGTTAGAGTCAAATAGATTGTTCGGTAAGAATATCTTCTAAAAAATCATACATGAATAGCTGATATATTGTGTGCCTAGATATATAAGTGATAGAATAATAAGACGTAACTGATCTGAAAAACGTGATGCGTTTGCGCTATACATTCCGAACAATATGGTCACACATATACTTGTCACGGTATTTTATATGAAAACTAATGAACGGTCGACTAAATAGGTTCAAATAAACATAAATGATAGTCGTAAATAAAAGAGAGTGAAAGTAAACCCTTCCCTATTAACCTTTTTCTGACCCCAGCATTGCTTACTCGACTGTCCCAGGATACACATACAATGCTTCGAAGACACTTATGATTGAATACTAGTAAACTACGAATACTCTCGGTTCTTACTAGCCAGGTTTCACACGCATGGAGTAGGACAGACCGAATCGCTGCGCAGTAAACCCGTCCTTGGTTTGGTAGGCGGATATCTTGTCTATGCTACAAGTGACGCAAGCGGGCGAAAGTTAGTTGAACCTTTGGTTATTATTTTTTTGAGGACGCTAAAATCTGGTAATTCCGCTTATACTTACCGCTATTGGACTATAACTGTAATTTTCATGACGTTGAGTGTTAGATAAAGACATACAGACGTTGGTCAACAGTCTTTTAGTGAAGAGATCGAAAGCTATATTGCTTGAGTATCAGGACATGTGGCAAATGTTTAACAAAAATCAGAATGAACCGAAAGGCAGAGTATTTAGTAGAGACAATCGAGTTACCAGACAAACAAATAAGTGGTGACAGAACAAAACATTTAAAAATTGGGCAACGAGATCGAACTTTTTATAAACGTAAAAATTATGGCTTAAAGATGACGTTGAGTCTCACTGAAAGTAGCATTTCTAATACAAAACAGCTTTATTTTGATAGTTGGTGTTAAGGTTCGCAAAAACCTGAAACAGGTGTTAACGAGCAATTATGTTCTAAAATTTTTTCCAAGAATTAAAAATACCCATCGATGAAAAACAGTTTCTCCAACCTTTAGTGAATATGTTGGGGAAAATGTTGGGCTTGTTTACACTTAATTAACTAGAGTGCAAGATGCTGTTTCCAGGGTGAACTAGACCTATATTTAAAATTAGTACAATAATAACAAAGCCTGGAACTAACCAGAGATAAGTAGTAACATGGTGTTTTGGAATCCCAGAGACCAATGTACGAATTACGATCGAATTTAAACCACATTAATCAGTTTTAACTGATTATTGCAGTTGTCACAAGGGATCCAATGAAACAAGCTTTGCTCAATTAGACGTCCTAGACAAGTCAAAGACTTCACGAAGTGAGACCATTTTTAATATTATTAGTTTGCTTCAACAATAACCAGCAAACCACATTACGGCACACAGTAGGAAGTGGCATATTACTGCAACAGCCCATATTTAAAATTTCGCTAATCTTATCAAGTAATTTGTACCAACAATCAATACTATTTATTTAAAGACGAGCAATGTTTTTGTATTTACAAGCTTCCCCTTAATATGCCACATGGATTGAGAATAAGGGAAAGTAAGCGACAATTTTACCAGACCAAAGTTAGACGATCGAAAAGCTTCCCATTAGCCCTACGTAACATTACCTACTACAAATTCCGACATCAGATGGCCGAAGTCTGATATCCATAAATATAATGGTTATTATTAAAGGAGAAACATACCTCGCAAAGGGATATCCTTCAGAATATTTGTTTGTTAGACATGAGCCGAGACACTCAAGAATACTTTGAGAAACAAAGTTCTGGAAATACATACAGGTGGACCAAGAAACATACTTCCGAAGCAATTAGTGCAAGTGATGATTGTTGTCTACATTTTTCTTTTCTTATCAATTCCCACAACTCAACATCATTGTTTCTCAACATCCTTGTACCGTACATTGCTGACGTGCATACCTTCAGAATACTTGTCTCCAAGCAACACTGGATATTACGCCGTATGAGTTTAGTGACATTCATCTACACGATCAAGTGTAGCGGTTTGCGTCTAGCCTGGAGGCACTATCGGTACTAGAGGAAGAAGTTGAGTAGCTTGTGAGGAGAGCAAGAAAAAAAGTGAACAGACAACTCAGCTGGCGTACAGAATGAATTGATCTGACTACGGAAAGCAATGAATTACCAGCAGCAACACAAGTCTAAGATTAAGAAGACCTGAAATCGAAACTAGGTATAATAGGGTTTAAGATAAAACCAATTGGATGAAGTAATGCGGCGGTGGCACCGTCCACTGATGGGGGCAGCCGAGCCCTTGGAGGTCAACTTTCAGTAGAACGATTGGTGCGTCACATCGAGAAGCAGCTAAATCAAAATAATTGCAAGTTTGGTTTTAGTTCTGTCACTCTACGTCCGACAACCTCGGTCCTTCAAGTAGTGGAAGGAATGTCGTCGCAGTGGTGCATGATATAGGACGACAATTCAGTGATATCATGCGATCGTGATGACTTATCAATTTATATAGTTTCAAAACCTGCCCGGATGAAGTGCATAAAGTAATGAATCTAGTCATTAATGCATCCGAAATATGTATTGGCATGTAAAAATAATAAGCTTGACTCAACTCTCAGATATGTTCCCAATCTCGCACCTTTAGTGGAATTTTAGGGTTTTCCCCAAAACCATGTACGAATTTAAGCTAGGAAGCGGTTTTAAACTGGCTTACATACCAATGGCAGCAGATATTCTGGAAATAAACCCCAAGGCCAATGTAGCGCAGTTGAACGAATAGAGACACTCCAATATCCAATATCTTTTCAACGAGCTGCTATAAACCATTGATTTCTTTGCTCTCGATTCTTGTTCTTTTGGTACAGCTCCAGGTATTCGGTAGACTCCAATGAATGAGGGTCTAGCCACTCGATAGTAGTGGTATACTTTTAGGAAGAAAACATAATTGCTGAAATATAAACATTTATTATTGTACCTGATTCTGACAATAATTGTTAGATTGTACACCTCTTGTTTATCTGTACCAAAGAGTATCTCTCGCTCACCAAGCGTGTTATTCCCATTCTCCTCTTCTCACGTTAACTACGTGGACGTTAGCCGTTTGTACGCCGTCTGGCCTCGATATTATTTCGATATCACTAGGCTAGCACTAAATATACTTCTTCCTCTAGGGTCGCCTTTTTATTTGGTTCTTAGAGTAACGGTATTAACATTTGTTATCCTGCAAAGTAGTATATTATTCGATTTGCTATACGACTGTCTAATTCTAGTCAGTTGGTAGTTGTTTGTGAGTTTGTATGTCCAGTGTTTTGAATGAATACACTTGTTTCACGGCAGTGGGTTTCCGAATACGAATAGATATCTCATTATCAGACCGGAGACCAGTTAGGTGCAATTTAGGGAATAATAAGGCGAAAATTCTGATGCTAATGTAAAATTTCAGAACTAAGTAAATAAATAGATAGTTTATTTTAACAAATGCTAGTGAAGATTGTGAGAGAGAACCGAATTGGAGACAAGGGAGATGAATCAGAGATAGTAAGCGAGATAGAATAAAGTAATCAGATGCGGAAATGACGATCATTATAACTAGCAAGTTTAGACATGCATGGGGAACTGCTGGTTCAAGAAGTAGATGACAATCCACATGTCAGTACGTGTTTACAAGTCTCTCCTTGAAGCTATCCACTGAGAAGGGCCGTCTTTACCTTGGCTGAGTATTCGCTCTTTGATACGCGATCTTTCGAGGATTACCTAGCGGGACGCAGTGGTGATGCTTCGGCGAGATGCTCAGGTCAAAATGATTAGGCATACCTAATCTGTAGGACACCATTATCGGATTACCTACATTCTCCTGTAACTCAGAAAGAATAATTCCGAATTCCTGAGTCTATCTTCGTAAGGTTTGTTCTATAAAACTATCACTCATTTAGTTGCTCATATGTGCACTCAACTCTGGAGGAAAGGGAATGCGATAACATTGTAAACTTCAAATTGTGGTTGTGCGTATACTCTGAAGAAAATTAAGTACAATTCTAAGGTGACTCCTCAGAGTTTTCTTTGCATACAGTGGACGGTTTCCTGTTACTATTAGGCCGAGATCACACTCTGGGGTGACATTAGTGAGCGGACTTCCATTGAGGACATGAGGTGTTTGCTGTGTGGGGCAGAATGTTCACGACGCGGCATTTCGACCGGTTGCATTTTAACCCGTTTTGTACTGTCCATTCCTTAACTGATGCACGGTCCTTCTGCAGCTCAGTTGAATCACCTTCAGTTTTGCGGGCCTCAAGATCTCAATGGCTGCGAGGATTAGCGCAGTTGAGCTAATATTTTCTAACTAGTCACTAATGAATATCGGGAAGAGAATTGGTTCTCTGTTTAGACCCTGAGGCTCGCCAACCAGCATGCACTCTATTCACCGAACCTCTCAGTTCTCGAGGTAGTTTCTGAGACAAGATAGAAGTAGAACGATGAAGCACATCTTCGCAACCTTCGCACTTAGGAGTACGTCATGTATTGTGTCAAGAGCTTCTACGATGTCAGTTAATAGTATACGGACGGGTACTTTTTGGTCCAAGCGGAGTTGGTGTAACTCCAGTGAATGTCTGAACAGTTCGCATACCAGAGAAGTTAGGGCTCCTGCACACTGTTTCAAGACTAAAGGATGGCTATTGTCGCATGGTGACTTTCGTGGGCGCTAGGATTTTAGTTTTCTGAGTACCAAGCCAGGAGTAAGTCGGTTATTCCCTAGGCCGTCAGCTGGGACTAATAATAATAATAATAATTTATTCTCAAATAACAAACATGTTACAAGAGACATGCCAATTTACAGGCAAGATCAAAATGTTAAGATTAGCAACATATTTTTTTCTGAAAACGGTATAAAGTTACTGAAACATTTCACAAGATTCATTGTTTTCTTAAAGATGGAATGTACAAAGCGATCAATTGGCGCAAGTTACGAAGTTTGCGTTACGACAATCATCTTATGGGCTGAGAAATGATTTTATGGTACAGACAGGTTTTCATATAACAAGAATTGATGCGGTAAATGTACAAAAGTCTGGTTGATATTCGTCAGCTAATGATTTCACATGTTCTTGGCTAGGGTAACCAAGTCTACTGCAAATATCCAGACTAATATATGTGGATTGGAATAAGGTTCTGAAAAAAGAGGAATAAAGAAAACGGGACGAGGAGCAGAACAAAAAATATTCATGTTCAAAGCCGAACAACGGCTTCGCACATACGTTTATGGATAAAACAAAGGTATGTTTACCCAAACATTTTTAATATCAGAACACTTTACACCTGCGCTTATGTAGGTTAATGAAGACAATTCAGTGGTGAGATAACTAATGAGAAGTTAGTTGAAAGAATCGAGGAATTTCAGAAGAACCAAGTTGTTAGTAATAAAGTTGATTTACAAAATATAATAAAGAGGTTTGAGTAGTCCTTTGAAAGTGCATGTTCTCGGTTTAATTGATCGGTTAAGGTGGTGTTAAATATCTCAGTCATCCCTAAGTTGGTAATATCTTCGTTATTTGTACTCTTAATAGCACAAACACCCTGATTCGTAGGTTTTCTTCTAATCATGAAGCTAAAAAGATTTTCCGGGTCTACCTGAATTTTAGCATCTGGTTTCCCCTGGAAGTATCTCCTAACGCTTCGAACTTTGTCATTGCGTGTTTCTCAGTGCCAAGTAAGAACTACGGCCGGTGTATCAATCGAAGTAGCGAGGATTGGAGAATAATGTAAATCAGGTCAGCAAATTAATATTTTCAGATTTTTAAAACGAAAATTGACTCTGGATGTTAGTTATTTCCATAACTAATTGTAGTTATGCCATAACTAACCAATCACATTGTGGTTTAAGCGCTCACCACGATATCTAGTCTGACCGGTTTGTAAACCTTCTTTGTTGTAAATGACCTATTGATTGAAGGATGTTATTATCTTATTATATTGATGTGACTCATACTTTTATTCATTTTCCAAAGACACGCTATACTGGTCGGTACGTTTGCTCGTCTTACTTGACAATTGTAATTTCCTTATTTATTGTACAAATTTAATCGTGTTTTGTTTAGAAACAGATAAGGTTTAAACCAAGTTGTCTTCTACTAACTATAGCTTTACCATTGATTCTGTATTCAGTATTGCGTTCACTGTTTTACAATTACATCTGTAGGACAAATTAAATCCTACATAGTTTTGATCAGTACCTCATCAGAAGTTCATATACTGAGTACCTTCAAATGTCTACGGAGAATAGTAAGACTGATTAGATTCCCGAATTGTCTCCACACTACTCGGAAACTCGTAGCGAAGACCAGTGTGGAAGAAACAGCTTTGGAATGGACACTTTGTCAGAGTTAGAATTAGCTAAAGTACGTTAAGCTCATATAGAAAAGGAAATTGAGTTAGAGCGGTTACGTCAGATAGGAAGAGAATATTGTAACCAAATCCAGGATAAAAAGGTTGCGAATCTACATCCGTTTCACGTACAGCTGACTGGGTAGGAATGATATCTAAAGCTTTAGACCTACCTGTAGGATTTAATTTTGTCCTACAGATGTAATTCTAAAACGTTAACGCAAACACCGCCGATGACAGAATCCAGAGTGAAACCATAGTTAACAGAAGACAATTTGGTTTTAAACTTTATCTGTTTCTAAACAAAAAGAAAACGATTAATTTAGTACAATAAATAAGGAAATTACAATTATCAAGCAGGATGAGCGAACGTACCGGACAGTATAGCGTGTCTTCAGAAAATGAATAAAAAACATGAGTTACATCTATATAAAATAAAATAATAACATCCTTCAATCGATAGGCCGTTCACAACAAAGAAAGTTCATAGACCGGTCAGACTAGATGACGTGGTGAGCGCTTAACCAATCTGATTGGTTAGTTATGACATAACTACAATTAGTTATAAAATAACTAACACTACCCAAGCGAGAAATCATAAGGTTCGATGGTAATCCTATGAACTACTGGAGTTTCTTACGAAATTTCGAGGACTGTTTTGATGAAAGCGTCGGATCTCGATCTAAATTGAACTATTTGATTCAATATTGTGATGGTGAAGCCAAGGCTACCATTGTTCATTGTACATTGCTTCAACCGGAAGAAGGTTATCGTAAAGCGTTAGAGCTTCTTTAGGAAGCATTCGGTGAGAAACACGTAGTTCCCCCTGCATTTATCGACAAGATGTTGAAAATCCCTGTTATTAAGGAGACTGACCCAAATAGTTTAAGAAGGCTGGCTCGTGAGATGTATACCTGTGAGCTTACGCTCACACAAATGAACTACCTATCCGATATTAATTCTATGAAAACCATCGAAAGCATGTTTTTAAAACTTCCACCATACGTACAGAAAGAATGGGTTAAAGTAACGTGTCGAATTCTCAAGCCTTCATTCAACGACCTCTGTGGATTTGTAAGAGAACAGTCAGATATACATAATACTAGATACGGCCTACTTGTCAACAGCAGCAGTAATGCCGACAAAAGAGATTTCGGTGCTTTGAAAAGGAAAGCTGTCGCAAGTTACAACATAGCAACAGTAGCACATGCAAGCGTTAATGATGGAAATACCTCCTTACATAGTTCACCTTGTCCAGATTACTCCAGCAATCATCCCTTAGATCAATGCCAGAAGTTTAAAGACAAAAATGTTAAAAAAGGAAAGAATTCGTCTGTAAGCATAAGTTATGTAATGTTTGTCTGAAAGCGAACCATATAGCAAGAAATTGTCGATCGCCGAGGTCATGTGCT